CGGTATAGTAGCTCAGTATAGATTCATTAGACTTTTTACTTATCCGGCTCTTCAAGCACATGCAATGGTTAGACCAAACCATCATGTTGTCAAACAAGAACAAAAATTAGATTTTTCAACATTCAAACAATTTTTACCACCTACGAGGCGAATTTCGGATGTCGGAAATGTCTGGATTTTTTTTTAATGTCCTATATAATACAGTTGAAACAAGAAGAGAATATTAATATGGAAGCAAGTTATACGGTTTCATAAGAATTCTATGAAAAAATCTCAGAGAGCTTATAGTTGCTAAACATGCAAACAGATTTTACAATGCGTGTGTATGTACATGTAAATATAGGTAGGTGCCGTTCAAAAATAAGAATGTGATAAATCTGCAGATTTAGGGATTTGTAACGTTAATATTTTACTACACATACAGGATACAGGTATATGTACAGGTAGATAGAGTTTGTTTTGTTGTTATCTGCGCTGTACGGCTGTGCAAACCCGTAATATTAGCTCCCGATTCCAAGATAACAGTTGCCGACAAATAAAATCTACTTTGTTGGGCAAAACGCAATATTGTAAGACTGGATCCGTACATTTGATTACTCTAGACGATTCAAATTTTACGACTATGTTCAAAGATTTAATCACAAGTACAGTTTTATAGCCTCAAAATTATATGTTTCCGTTTTATGGTCGAGGTATAATTTTATATGTTCGTGTTTCGAAATTGGAACAGCGATCTTTTTTGCCTTTGAACTTACCGTGAGAGACAATGCACATCATACAGGCATAAATTTGTACTTTATTCTGATATTCTCTGTGTGTGATACAGATAAAACATCCGTCCCAACCTACCCTGATTGAGTTATCCGGCCCTGATTTTCACTTGTTCGCTCCCTCGACCCGCCTACGCTGATCTGCCGCCTCAGCATTTGCACCCCTGCTGCTATCCAACTGTACGCAACGGAAAACGGGTTCGCGAAATTCACCTTTTCGTAAAGCTTCCAAAAGGCTGCCGTTGCCGAGAGGGAAGTTCGTGGATGATGCCGTATGAAGGTGCCTCGTGTCACAGACAGAGGTAGCGATGTTGGACATAACTCTATTACGAACAGTAACATTGTTTTTTCAGACACGTTCGTCCCGGGGATGTTTGATTTGTTTGTTTTTCAACTGCAAATACTGGAAACATAGTTAGTGACAGGACTTTGTATTGATTCGTTACAAAAGGACATCATGCACGAGTTTTTGTTTGTTTGCCGGGGGAATGATCCATACATATTTTTTAACAATAAGTATGTTCATATAAGTACATAGGTATAGTAGATGTATATGAATAACAGAAAAATACCACCGTTGCAGCTTATAAAAGGCAAGAGTGTACCTAACGTCAAAAGCTATGAAAGTTAGTCCATTGCTGATGTTCCATAAGATAGAGTAGTCTAAAGTTGTTTCGACAGAATTTTTCGCGCCTCTAAAGCGCAACTAAATTTTGATCACGTCGTTCTAAAATTGCTAAGTACATCTCCCTCCCAAAACGTATATGTACTTAGGTACATAACATAATTACATTATAGCATGCTCCTCTACGTGTGATTTATTAATTTTGCACATGTAGATTTAGAGTTATTTATGTACTATATTATAAGTGAGAAAAATGCTATAGGTGTTACAAGCGACTGATGCTAATCTCACAAGCTTATAATGGCATTACATGATGGATAGACAGACAGACAGACAGACAGACAGACAGACCGACAGATAGACGGAAACGGTAGACTTAATTTTTCCGTGCTCTTTAAGGTCACGACGCGTCGCGAAAACATGAAAGTAGTCATTCAACCGATGCCGTTCTATTACAACACTTCCTTAGCTTATGCTCGGGAAGCAAAAAGTAAATTCACACAAAATTTTACAATTTGTCTTCCAACTTTAACGGACATATCTACCTGAAATTTTGATCATTTATTTAAATGAATTTTAAAAACATTGGTCTAAGGTTATTTAGCTACAGAACTTTCCTCGTCCCTGAAGTGCAGTCAATCAAATCTATATTCTTAGAAAATTTTTAAAATTTGATTTCGCGAAATAAAGATAGGTTAGATAGGTACCTACCTATATGTATAAACCACGGTTGTAGAATAGATAGGTTTGTACACTAATGGCTTGGGATGGCGACGCTTCTTTTCGATCCCTATATCCATGGAAAGGACACAGACAGCCAGCGCCTCTACCTTGTCGAGCGGAAATCGTTCTAGTTATTTTGGGGATTTTCGTTTACATTGCTTTATGAACAATACAAAATTTGTAAATGACATTTGATCGGAGTCGATAAATACGATTTCTTTTATTAATTACATCGGTTATAGACAGATGCCTATAGAGTTCTGTGTCCCTAAAACGTCAAAAACCAGGCGACGCGATCGGCAATTGGCGTCGCTGACCAGGGATATGCAAATGTATGCTAGTGTATCAACCTATCTATTCTACAACCGTGGTATAAACTATTAAAGTATAGATACAAAAGTATACTAAGGGTTTGTTTCAAATGAATTCCGCATAACAACATTGTATAATGATGTCATCAACATTTTAGCAAGGACATGCAGATCATTTAGGATAGGTGGGTACACTGTAATGCTAGAATTAATAACAGTACTGTACTCCCAAATTTTCGGAAAAATGAGATGAGCCGACAGATAGGACCTGACGAACCAGTGCGGGAAAAATTTAGATTGGCGCCCCTGAAAGGCCGAAGTGGGCCATTTTTTACTTTGGTGTAGGTAACATGCTTGCCGGCGCCTCTAAAAAGTTCCACATTTCCATATGGTCCCATTCGTCCCTGTGAACCGTCCTTGATTTACTCAATAAAATAAACTGCTTCATTCATTAATTGCTTTTAAGTCACAGTGTACAAGTAATTCTAAAAATATCAATAAATACATAAACCACAAGTAGGTCTCTACAGACTCATTTTATGCACAATTATCCAGGACAATTTGGAGATGGCACCGTCAAAATTTTAGAGGATAAATCTTAGATTATATAATAAATTATTAGGTATAATTTTTTCTTAAAAGGATAAACAGATAAATTTTGATTAACGATTTACCATGATGCTTACGAGTAACTATGTAGGTACAACTAGGACAAAAAATTTACTGATTCCAACCGGACAAACGCCTTTCCAGGGAACCATAAAATAACTTAAAACAAATCATAAATGATGACAAATGTAACTTATCCGGCTTAAACCTGAAATTAATAATAAGTCCTCTGGAAGTATGTAGAAGTGAATGTCACATTTACCTATAATTTTTACCTATCAGATAAAATCCACACACAACGATAACCTTAAAACGTTTCGTAGACTTCAGAGCATTCGATATTGTGGTTTCTAAGTTAAATTGTAAAATTTTGTTTACATTTTTAATTCTTTTTCCAAAAATCTAAATATCTACTTAGTGTAAATAATCAAGGTGGATTCATAAAGTTACGAGTATTAAAGGCATTATCTTATTTTATGAAATTTAAACAGTATTTATACTAGATGCAAATATTTAGGGCGTCTATGGCTTTGACGTTTAAAATACTTTACAGCCGACCCTTCATAAAACTTGGCAAATGCAAACCATACCACGTGTCCTGTGCTTTTACCAGAAAAGGTCTTTTCAGGTAGGTTAACAGCGACCGGGTTTAAGACATCGGGCTGACGGCCTACTGAATTATAACAGCAGTTAAATTGATGTGAAGCCTTAACCGCACTAAATGTTTGCGTCTAGTATACTTACTATGCAAAATTTTCAGATGATGTTATTAAATGGTTGGCGGGGATGCTCAAACAAATTTTGGTTAGCGTTACATGATATTCCTCAAATACTTCTCAAGTTTAGGTACCTACCCATATATAAAATTTTACAACTATGCGGTGATCAAAAAAATTTTTGGAATTAGGATAGGATTTCAAAACTCAGAAGGGTCTACACTTTAGAACCAAAAATCCTTGTTATAGAGGCGTATACTTTTGTAATTCACTAATGGAGATACATGATGCATCTTTGATTTGTTAGCATTGACATTTGTAAGGCTTATCGATTTAATCAACGAAGTGAACATTTCTTTTAATCTGAAACTTTTTGATCACCTGTTGTTATATAACAGAATCCCTACTTTATTTTCTTTCGTTGAATATCAGAAACTATCAACTTTAGATAGGTACCTATACAGAAAAATTTGTGAAAAAATGAATTGTTAAAAAATGTCAAGAAAACTTAACAACGTCGTATAGGGGTTTTAAACATCAAATTTGGTTGTAAACCTATCTATGAGCTGAAAACTAAGTTGTACCTATGCCAAGAATGAAACAGCTTGTATAGTTGACAATAATTTTAAATTATTATGCTGCTCAAAAACAATACAACTATGGTTGTTGACTTTCCTTTGAAGTATCTCTAAAAATATCAAAACCTTGATTTTTTTAACATTTTGTACAACAAACGTTCACTAATAATAAGAAAAACTATCAAAAATGATATTAAATTACAAAGTTAGTCAAGACATAAGACTTCCAAAATCATAATATATCTCAGTTTTAAAATTGTGAACAAAATTCTTACTTTGTAAAGACGTATAAAAAACGATGCAGTAGTACTCGTACATGTAGTGTGGTACAAAACGAAAGGGTGGTCTGCGGAGTGTAAATTTAGTATGGTCGCGTCCATTGTTCGTTCGAATGGGTGAACGTCTTTGCAGTGGAGTGCACATAAACTAACAATAAGTATATTATTTGTGCCACATTTAAAAAATAATAGTAATAGTTTTAAGAATGTGATTATATCATTTAATTTAATAATTTTTTTAAAGTACAAAATATTTACTGTAACTATACGTAACCTTCTTAGGCTACAATCGTTGCGCCACTGTGGTCTAAAAACCACGCATCATAAGCCCTGCCCGTCAAATGTAGGTGATACTAAATTAAAAAAAAAAAAATAAATAAATAATAATCATCCGTTTTCATCATATTTATTGTTTATTGAGAATTCAAGTCTCTGAATACAAGCTTTGCAAATTGGGTACGGTGCAATTAACCCTTCTTATGTATTCAAGTATATCAAACTAACACATGTTGACTGAAAAGAACATACTTGAAATGTTACAAATATCAAAGTTAAGAACTACACTACGCCTACACTCACATTAACATAAACTGAATTCTATAATACAACTGAAATTAAAAATAGTTATATATATTTATAAAAAGAAATACAATGCGAAGCCGTTGTCTACTTTTCTCCCGGAACTGTATCTTTTTTTTCAGCGGAACCGACTTCTGCATCCTCTCCTTCTTTCTTGACAGTTTTCTCGTCTCCGTTCTTCTCGCTATACTTAAATCTGGAATAAAAACGAACAATGACGTTCAGTTTTCACGCAACCACCATGGCATCGTACCGATCGTAGCGTTCCCCATTCACGTCCTCGTCTTCATCCGAACTCTTAGTCCCCTCTTTGGCTAATATGTCGTCCAAATCTTTGTCTACGTCAGCCCAAAGTTTATCGTCTCGCGCTTCTTCATCGTCCAAAGTCTTATTGGCACTCTCCTCGTCCTTTTCTTCTTTCGATGTTTCAGTCTGCTTCTGATTAGTTTCCGAGTCTTCAACATTATTTTCTCTGTTCTGCCTTTCTTTGTCTTCTTTTTCGGCAGTTTCTTTTCTCTGCAGTTTTTCTGCGCGTTTCTCCAAGTCTTTATCCTCCTTGTATCTAATGTATCTCTGCATGTGAGTTCTTTGCTTGCAGTGTCTAGCCAAGATCGAAGGAATCATCTCGTCATTGCCTCGTCCAACATACATCTTACAAAGGTCGCAATAATATGCTTCAACTTTTCGAATCTGTTCGATTCCCACGCTCACGGGTTCTTTATTGATGTCCTTCTTGTCGTCTTCCTCTGAAGCATCTCCTATATTGTCATAGAAGTAATTTACGGTACATGCTACGCATTTCGAATTGAAATTTGTCTCTCGTTTATAGTAAGTCTAGCCTCAAAATCAGCAGACTTGCGGAAAAACAAGAAATCAATGTACGTCTCTTTTGACGCTCAAATACAAATGGAAATTTGTTATTCAAGTAACACAGAGACGACAGCAGCGTCACAATTTTACAGCACTTACCATCAATTCCTACGGAATCGATCGTCGTGAAGTTTTCAAGATTAGTCTCATCATCAAACTCATCGCTATTCTCCCCGTTCTCAACTCGTTGCTTTCGCTGCAATTTTCAAAATTCAATATGCGTCATTTTAGTCCATAATTAATTGTCCTTTAAACTTACCTTCAAGTGTTCAATAGAACAACAATGGCTCTCGTACATCATCGGACTCTTGAATGTGATACTGCAGAGCTTACAATATGGCATAAGGAATTTCTTCATATTTTTGTGCGCCTCGGAATTCTGATGAACCGCTTTACGTTGTTTGTAATTCAGTTTGCACAACGGACAGAAGTTAGTCCTGGGTGCTAGATCGTCACTTGTTTTCTCAAGTTCGTTTTGAGCGTTTCTCTGAGCCAATCTCATTTGTGCCAAAATCGACTTTTGCTTGATAGAAACTTTTCTCATCGCCATCATGTGAGTCCTACCCTGCAAATGTAGATCGTACTTTCGAAACGTGACAGCTTTAATGCCACAATGTGGGCAGTTCAGCTTGATGAACGTCTTGCGCGTGGAAGATTCGTCTTTATTTTCGGACTTGTCTTCCTTATCAGAGGCGTCGTCTTTGTCGTTCGCCTTTTTAGCGGACGTTTCGTCTTCCTCTCCTTCTGCTATCTCCTTTTTGATTTCTTCATCGTTCTTTTCTTCCTCTTCATCTTTATCTTCCTTCTCTTCATCGGAGTCGTCCTCCTTGTCGCTTGCTCGTTTCTTACGAGCCGCGATAGCGCTAAAGAAAAATAACAAAATTACAATGTGTGACTAATTGACGGATAATATTTTTCATAGTTTACAGTATGTAAAGCTTTATTTAAATAACCTGGTGCACTTCAAAATGACTCAACTTCGGCATGGGTATTCCAAAACACTGCATGTCATCTTTACTTTTAAACAGCATCAATTTTTGTTTCTGCTCTTTGGACAATGATCTTCTGAACGATCTCAATTGATCGGTTTTGCTCTTAGATGGGAACAGAAAGTGTTTTAGAAACGTTTTAATGAATTCAGGACGCCCTCTACGCCTAAACTGCCTCGCTGCTATCTGAATGAATCGATTTTTTGTGTACAAAGTGAACATTTTCGAAAAATAGAAATAAATAAAATCCCTGTGACACGAAACAACACAAGTGAATCACTCCGTGCGTACATATTTTTGACAGTCTTGCGACCGTTTCTTGAATCATCCTCCTGTTGAAATGCACACTCACAAAGAAAATGAATAAAACAAACAACATCCTCCTGGACTGCATATTTTACCATAAACAATGCTGTCTGGTATGCGAGCTTCATCAGAAGCTTCTTTAGAAGAAAAAATGCATTTTTTAATTGACAACAATTTGAGCATTACACAATAATAATAACAATATCAAATTATGACTTTTTTTCTTGTATAAAACGTACTATTTACCTCCTCATTTTGGAAATTTTAAGTCTCCTGGCGTAGTCTGATGCACGTGAAGGTATAATGCGTTTACGCACAGCATATGAATTTTCAATGAGGCGTCTTCGAGGTGGACGATCTCTAAGCTTCAGACCCCGCGAGCCTCGTGAACTGATACGCCCTCTGTATCCTCCTCTTGGAGGACCAGACGGTCTACGAAATTCATCTCTTCGTGAGAACGGTGCAGGATGTCGGTCACTTGAAAAGCTTCTGCGTTCAGAATAGCTTGAATCATATCGACTCGTACTCGACCCATACCCACCATAAGAACTATCGTGACGTGAACTAGGGGCCTGTACAAGATACTTTATTAAGTAACACAACGCTTGATGTCCTGGAGTCCCCAGACATCAAATGCGCCGGGTCTTCAGTTATTAAAATTTTAAACGGGTGTAAAATTAGGTACAGTATTAAATTCAAAATTAATGCATCGGCATTTGATACATCAATGGTCAATACCCTCTCTTCAGATCAATCCATCGATCGAAGAATCAACTTGTTCTTTTAGCAAATGACTCTCCACACCATCAGACTGTATGTCAAGGTATACGAACTCCTTTAACATCTTTTTTTTTATTTTACAAATCTATACGTTCTGTGTTTACTCAGAATCGATCTTTTATGACAATGCTTTGAGCACTTCTTCAATAATCCTGTGAAACAATAAACTAAAATGGAATATATCATACCTCGTTTCTAGGTCTCTTTCGCTCTGGAGATCTATGACCGCTATCGCGTCCAGACGAATAACTCGAATCCTGCAACAATTTTTACTTAGGACACTGTCGCAGTGAAATAAATTCTAATTGCAATGTCAATTAGTACAAGTGTTTAATGGATAGTTTTCAATAGTGAGGATAATATAGAATTACGAGCGCTTAGCGCGAGTGACACTGATCTCACGAGCTTATAATTGGCATTTCCCTCACGTATGATATACAACTTCATAAAGTGTCAATTGTATGACGTTTGAAAATAAAAGTTGTATATCAAATTACATATTAGTACATAATTAATTACAACATTAAAATGTTATGTTTCAGTCAATATTAAACAAACCTTATTAGTGTAGTGAATACTTTATAATTGTTTTTTTTTTAATGGGTCAGTAGATTAGGACCATGCCACTGTTTGCGCATATAGATAGTAATATACTCAAAACTACAAATAAGATGAATAGTCGCAATAGTTTCAGTTCTAACGACAGAAAAATACTGGTTATTTTTTGGGAGAAGTGAAGTTATCATTGTGAGCGTTTTATGTCAAAGATTTGTTATACTTAAATGCTTTTTTTTTGTTCAGTTATATTGAATTGTTCTATTGTTTTAATTTTGAAAATTTGTTTAGCTTAAAAAACTTATTCGGAGTACCTCAAACTAGGTACCAATTCATTATTATTGGAGCCACACAGTCAGATAGCACTTTTATAAATCGGCAAATGAAATAATATACAGTGACGCATTATGTTTGCAAACAACACCTTTGTTTATTTTTGGTCAATAGATGTAATACTAATTTAAGATATAACAACTTAATTTTTAGAAAAATACAACAGCAAACAGTTGAGCACATGTTACAAGATGCGCATGGTCATTGTGTGTAAAATATCATGAAACATGAAAAACAAAAAATATATACTGACCATTCTGTAGGATTTGCGAAAATCATCATGTCCTCCATGGCCTCGTGACCCTGAGTATCTATCACTTGAACTACCATACTTCGACCTAGAGTCAAACGAACTGGAAAATGAATCAAAACTTCTGCTGCCACCTCCCCTAGGGGTGTAGCCCCCTCGGCCACCGCCCCACGAGCCTCCACGACCTGAACCGCCCCTGTACGAGCCACGGGGAGAATATCCTCGACCACGTGTCATGCCTGTAGATTGATTAAAACTAGAAAGAAAACAGTACAATCACATTAATAAGGAATGCCTTCTTGGAGCCCTCTTGTTGCAACTTTCAACTGTACAAACAATTCAGAAGTCTCACCTCGGGTTGTAGTAACTCATTTTGGCTTTAACCCACTGAAATGAAAATCTGTTTCAATAAAGAGTTTTCGTTGTACTATGCTCGGCCATTATCTAAATGGTTAAATTTAGACAATGGCGTGGATTTTGAACCAGAGCGACAATAAAACAGCCGACTGATAGTAGCAAACCAAAATAATGGCGGACAATTGCAAAATGACGGCGAATGCCGCGGCGTTTTTAGACTCACCTGCTGGATAATAACGAAAGATCGGTTAAAAAAAGGTCGAATAAAGTTACCACAGTGTTTTAAATACGATAAGTAACAAAAATTTCACGTTCGCAACGATTTTTGTCAAAAATACATCACACTACACGGAAAACCGGCTTCGAAATGACGCTACGCTACGAACCGAAATCGACCAGTACATTGAAATCGTAAGAAAGAACGCCGAACGCGTCTATTCAAAATGGTGAACTTCCGTCGGTCATTAGTACCGAAAATTTCTGGAAGAGGGCAGCGCTAAATAACAACTTGCAGAGTGCCACACCCAGAATGCAAAAGTTACTGTTGTCTTTTAAACATTCATCACTGCTAGCACTAGACCACTAGACAGATAATACATATGTTCCCAGAACAAAGTCAGGAGTTCCTCTACGTTATTCGTGTACACGCCGTGATAAATATCTACATGGATTTCGTTAATGTTTGGTATCTAAATAGATAGATTGAATATGAACTGTGATTATTATTTCGAGGTTAAACACAGAAAACGTTAAGCCTTATTGTAATCCGACTTTATAGTATTGACAAATTGTGCCAGACAATTAAAAACCATGTAACTATAGTCATGGGTTGCTAATTGTAAGGGTTTTATCCCCGCAAAAGCTTAAATCAATAGTTAAATCTTTAGATAAAAATCTAAAGATTTAACTGTTGATTTAAGACTAGTCGACTATAAAATAGCTAAATAACGTATGATACTGGTTTATAATGCGGGGTTCGTGAAATTTTTTACTCATACTATAATTCCTATAGTTACGTAAGCCTAAGTAATCAAACAGATACATTTATTTTTATTAAATATTCTATTGTAGAAATTGCTCTATTTTTCATTGTTTTCGAAAGAAATATAACTCAGCGGAAGCTGAGCCTCCCTTCTCAATACATCGATGTTACGCCACTGCTAGCCCGACTACAAGTCGCGCAACTTAAGCCCCGCCCCTGTAACCTTTCGTGGTGAAATTACTTCCACAGAATATCATACAGTAAGGACAGCTTTTGAAAGGCCCATAAGAAATGCACGTAACGGACTAGAACAATAATAATAATCGACCGTTGGATAAGGACATGACCTTGAATTTTGGCTTGAAACTGTAGTGGCAAACCTTGTTACTAAATAAAATTTACCACTATGTCAACATTGTGCGTCAAATTTGACATTTTAGATGTTTGGTATTTAATATTGTAACTGTGATTTATTATTTTTACTGAATAGAAAATGCGCGTTCGAACAAATAAATAGAATAAATAATCTTGTGGAAACTGTACACAGGGCACAGGGATGCGGTATGCTGGTACAGACACAGTTACGAGGGCTGCTTTTATATATTGGCCACATGAAGGTAAAATTGAGTTAGTAGAAAATAGTGAAGCAAATCGTTTTTCTAGGGCTGCAACAGAAAAGGTGAATGCTTCATGTAGCATCTTAAGCCCGCCACTCACGTTCCAATGCCGCAGTACAATTGTGTTGGATACGACGAAATTGAAGTGTTTTTGAACGTCTGTTTATGCGATCGAGCAAATCGGTGGGATGTGGAGGGTTGGTGAACAAGTCTGTCTGCAGCAGTACAATCGTGTTGTATTGGATGGAAATTTGATCATGTGTGGACACGACTCGACAGTGTATGTTATTCAAACTGTGAAAGCAGCTATAAAAATACATTTTCGTCATTTCGTCGGACATGTCATCACGATCGCAAATTTTTAACTGCAAGGTCGTGTGTGTGTACTGCTTTTTTTTAACAGAATTGTAGAACAGTTGCATCCAATACAATCGTACTGCGGCGTTGGAACGTGAGCTTTAGGATTACCAAATGGTGGATCATCATCAAAGAGGTTGAAGTGACAGAGAAGTTTATCATATGTGATGACATTACGGGCAACGGCAAAATAACTACATGTTTCGCAGGTATATTTCATCAAGCATTTCTTCATTAAGTATCCACAGACATAACTTAAAGAATTTTGTTCCCCCATATCCAGATGTTTGTAGTCTGTCATATTTACTTCCACAGATTTATGTGCAAAAGTTGTTCAGCTTAAAACTGTATTAATAATTTGACACTGGTTACTCTCTTTAGATTCAATTGCTAGTAAAATAGATCCTAAATCATTACAACTATTGGCATTTTTACTGTGCTGTAAAAATTGCATGCCAAATAATTTTTTATTGATTATAGAATACTATAATTCTTTATATTTCTTATCTTACAGAACCCAAGGGAAATTTAACGAAGCCCCTGAAGCAGGTTTTTTCATTGTGCCTGCAATCACGAGGTGGTCTACCACTGCAGTCCATGTTACTATGAAAAGGTTCTCAGGTTTTCATCTTCCTTACTTTTCGCAGGGAAGATGAAAACAACAGCGTTCACTTTCTGACTCTTCAAACGGTTTACAGTTGGTGAAAATTGAAGGCATTGACAAAATCGGTAGTTGATATGTTTATGTTGAAATTAACTTGGTAAAGTGATAGACTTTTATTAATGAATAAAATAAATATAAGCACAATTCTTTTTTATTGTTCAAAATGGTATTTTCTTCGTAGTCTACATACCACACTCCAAAAATTGGTTTCAGTTTTTTAATATTCATCCGATGTTTATGGTATCAGTTCCTTTTACATTGTTTTACGGACGAGGACGAGCTGTATTTGTAATTTAGGCAACCAATATTCCACTTCGTTTCAAAAATCCCGCCCAATACAAACGGTTGGGTAAGGACACGTTGTTTCAATATTTGACGAGCTGTCTCTACTGTATGGTATACTGATGTTACTTCTAAATCGCGGGTAAACACCAAAACCTCAGAATGTTAAAAGTTACTATACATTAATTTGAACCTGAATAAAAAAAACATTGATTATTTACATATTCATATTAGATTTGTATTTAATCAATGCAAAAAACAATATCATTGACTCATTCTTACTTGATGATCCATCATCAGTTCTAAAACTGATTGCAGAGAATATCTGGAAAAGCAACACAGTTTAGAACGAAAAATTGACTGAACTGTACTGTTTATTGTTGTATTATTATTTTTTTAGTTGTTAATTATTTGTTTTGTAACCAACCATCTAGGGATTTTCGGTCAAAAATCAGGTGACTTGCTTATCATTTAAGTACGTGAAGACCCGGTTTCTCAACGTAATTATTTCATTTTCTATTGAATTTATTTGTAATTGTATCAGAATACATAATCGTATACAACAAATAAACATTTCTAAAAATTTTTAAGCGCAAATTGTAGTTTTCTATATGCGTACGTTCAACGAAAGTCCATAAGATGGCGCTATGTAATTCCATTATCGCCAACCGCACCCTGTCAAATGCAAAGAATCCGTTTGAGTTTGCGAGCCCGTCGTAATGGTGGCCGTTGAAGTAGAAAGTGTCAAATAACCATGTCCTTAGAGACCCGTTCGAATTCGGCCCTTTTCAAGAGGGCCGAGCAATTGAAACGCTGGGAGGACTCGGACACGAATCGCGAACCGGTGTATCCAAAACAGACTTCGCGAAAAATCAAGTTTTCCTCGGGATGTGTGTTCTTGGCAGCGTGCGCCGCGGGTGATAAAGAAGAGGTTTTGAGGCTGCTGGACAACGGTGCTGACATAAACACTGCCAATGTTGATGGCCTGACGGCTCTTCATCAGGTAATTTCGTGTCTCGAGAAGACAGGTCCACCTGTACTGGAGTACCTTGTCTGATCCGTGACGTAAAAGATGTAGCAACATGGCTACTACAGCTGAGCCCGAAAAACCCTAAACATAAATCCCTTGGGAGGGTCCAACATTTAATGCTTTTAAATTTTGTGGTTTTGGGGTGTTTATGTGAATATTGGTGGTCATGATAGTTCCAGGAAGTAATAATGTAATGCATTTGTGTAATATAAATTGCTGTTAACTTGTTTTGGACATTGGCACTTCAGAATATCGTTACCCCCTGTGTTTGCTTCAGGAAGAAGCACAGCAAATATAACCATACATTTAAAATTTGTAGTGTGGAGGCCTAAATAAATAATATTACTAGCTCTCGATTGCTTAATGGATCCTAAGGGAAACATTTTAATACCTTTGGATATGTAGATGTTATGTTTGTATTTTAAAATGAATGTATATACAGTCGCGAACAGAAATTCTTGGACGTTAATGTCAATCCACTGTCAGAGAGTGTGAAACACTTTTAAGAAGTATCAGAACCTAATTTTTTAGTTTTGTCATTTTTGCGGGCATGGTGGCACTGGATCACACTGGATGCAGCGTGACAAACCATTTGAACTTCCAACATCAAAATGATAATAAAGCATAGACTGCCTCAAAACTTTCAAAATGACAGAAAACTGACGTCCATAATTTTCTGGTCCTAACTGTACGTGTAGAGACAAATCTATAAACGTAATAAATGTTTTTCGTCTTAGAAAGTAGGTAGTTGTGTTTATTACGTCTTCATTTTATTTATTAAATAAGTCACCCTAAGACTGGTAAAGTCCGACTTTTTTTTTTCTTTTTTAAATTGCCAAGTAGATTGCATCAATATGTATGTACATATGAACCAAGTTTTAGGGACACTGTACCTTAAATTTTACTTTTGTACAAGTCAAAATAGATAATTATATTTTCGTCAGGAAAAAATCGATCACGTAATTAAAAAAAAATCTTGAATAATCGTTGTTAAAAAATTATCTTGACATGTAAACGACGTTTGTTGTGTTTAACAATAATAACATTTATGTTTTGTTTTTTATAGTAATTTTCTTCATTGGCAAGCTTAGACTTGGGTTTAATTTTAACATCGTAGTTTTTTAATTCTTGCGTAAAAAATTTCGATTCGGCATTTTTGGCCTACAACACTTTCTCTTCAGCTTCGGTTAATAGAAGCTGCGTTTAACATAGGATTATACATAGTGGCAGGACATTAGAAGAGTAAAGAAGGAATTACGGTGTTTTTAGACAACCAAAAAGCAAGATTTAAATATAAAGCCCCAAGGCTTATTTAATAATAGTGACATTTTGTTCAGCAGCGATTTTTCATTCCGAATAATTAAGACCAAATGTTAAGTATTTAATAAATAAGCAATAGCTGTTTTATGTACAAAATTCCGAGCAATACACATCTGAACGTTTTATTGCAAAATCCACATACAGAGACACATCAATCCTCCTTTCGATTTCTTTTTTGAAAGCGTTTACAAATAAATTAGTTTAATAATAATTATCGATTATTAAAATTTATTTTTGGATTTAGTTTTATGATATTAATAGAAGACCTTCAAAACATAAGGTTTCTCTATATTTAAAATGTATCGAGAGAGAACCAGCTAACACTTCCTATCGGTCTTGTTACGTAAAAAAGGCGGTTCCAAAAGCCCATCCGACTGATTTGTATGTGTAAATGTTACAGTGTTGTGTCGACCGCGTTATTATTTCTGAAGAGTTGGCTCTTCCTTTTTCCCAGTGAAACATAAACGTTACGATCGTTGTTATTGCCCTGATTTTATTTTTATTGTCTTGCGAATTTTTTATAGTTACAAGATAAAATTCGATACACATAGGTATACACGGCATAATCTCGCTTAACAATTGATTTCTGGAAATATTTTGAAACATTAATTGCCAGCGGAGGTTTTTAAGTGATGACATTTCGATCATAGGAGATGACCAGCGGTGGTTGTAAAGGTCTGCAACAATCTCGCACTTGGGGCTTACTTACAGTGTACTTGTTACATCTGACGCCCCGGGAAGGTCTGAGATGAGCCTCAAACGCTCTAAGAGGGTGCATGCATTTTGCAAGGCAAGAACACCAGAAATCTGCGAGTGGAGTCCTTTAGCCCAGGATTCTTTAGATAGGCGTTGCGACTTCTTCGTTGGAATTTCTTGTGGTCGGCATTTTAAGTTCAATCTGCGGGCTAGCTTTTCGCTAGAACTCAATTCAGACTAATCTGTTGCAGACCTCCCAACCGCCGAAAAGTTTTCTCGACGATCGCCGATCTGATAGAAACCTTCTGCATATCCAAACTCTGACACGTTTACTAATAAACGCACTTTAGTAATTTAAACTAGACCCTAGTTACGTTTATTGGCTTTTTAAATGATGATAAAAACCTCGTCAGTATCTCGTTTTAGGTTTGAAACAATCTCGCACTTGCAGCACACTTACAGTGTACCAGTTACACCCTCTGCTGCGGGAAGGTCTGAGATAAGCCGCCAATGTTCTCGCAGGACATCTGCATTTTGCAGAGCGAAAGCACCAGAAACGCGCGAGGAGTTTTTAAGTCGAGGATTGACGCTGCTCATAGACGCTGAAAATTTCTCGTTGAAATTTTTCGCGGATGGCGATTTTAGTACAATCTGCGAGCTAATGTTAGAACTCGATTCAGACTAATCTGCTTCAAACCTAATCGTAAGATGCGTGGAGGTTATCTGATAGAACGCCATTGTAACAAGTTTAATTTCTTTTTTTTTTACGAATTGTTAGCGTTATCATGCCGTCGTGTTGTTTTTATTTGTAGCTTCGCTTTTTTTTCACATTATGCAGTCATTGACCTATCTTTTTTTTTTCACGAACTGTTCATGCCAAAAATCGTGTATTCGAATCAGTTTATTAGAGAGACAACAAGGAATAAGCAAAATAAAAAACTTGTCCACCTGTCACGCCCCATCACGGTTCCCCAGGAATAGCTTATCGAGCTTGTAACTCACTGTCCAAACTAACCGAATTACATTGTTTAATATTTTTTTATTACACGCCATTATGAGACTTGTTGTTACTTCACTGCTTACATGATTGTTCGTGTTACTATGTACATACTTACCTCAGATTTTGTTTTAAGAGGCACCACTTATACTTGAAGTAGGTAGTTCACAACTTCAGTCAAACGAGGTTAATGACCAAATTGACAAAAATCCGAATCGGTTTTAATTTTCGCATTAATTTTTATTTTCCAAGCGTAAGCTATGGTGAGAGGCTACTTTCATGTTTTCTCGACATTCCATAACTCCCAGTTTTATGTCGATTTTTATTAGACAGATAATGTCCGAAACTACCGGATATTTTCCCCGAGGCATCCAAATTTTTGGCGATTTATACTACAATAAGCGGAGCTCGCACAAGAATATTCGACAGCTCATTGCTTACAGTGAGCGACGTAGGAATTGTAACTAACGTGAAGGTAGCGGACGTTCGATTGTCGCATGGGCTTTTTGCTTCTTAGATTGTTACCGCTTTTTGAGTGACTAAGTATTTTTTCCCACAGAAAAAAAGAAACGGAGGTTGACTCGAGCTTACTTTTCATTTTAACAATTAATAATGTGATACTTAACGTAAAACTGTGTTTTCCATGCAGTACTTTCCATCATTTTCATTCAAATTTTCAGGCATTTCGGTCTCTCTTATTACAATTAATGTTAAAGGTCTCACCGCTTTATATGGAAAATATTTGAGATTTGTGTTCGTCTTTAAAAATCTGAGTTGACGCGGAGTTTATTGCAGGCCTGCATCGATGATAATTCAGAAATGGTCGAATTCTTGGTGGATCACGGTGCGGACGTAAACAGAGGCGACAACGAAGGATGGACACCATTGCATGCAACTGCAAGTTGCGGTTTTTTATATATTGCTAAGTATCTTATTGAAAAAGGTGCCAACGTAGCCGCGGTCAATAATGACGGAGAGCTGCCGATAGACATAGCGGAATGTCAGAAAATGGAAGATTTACTAAACGAAGAAATTAAAAAAAGAGGTGCGTAGGTACTCGTTGTAAAATATGTAAAGTTTGTAACGCGAACACGCTCAGGAATCGACTGTGAAGCTGCTCGTAACGAAGAAAAACGTATAATGCTTCAAGACGCCAAGGAGTGGTTGTCTACGAAAAGTCCGATGGTCGATGAACCACATCCAAAAAATGGAGCGACTGCTTTACATGTGGCCGCCGCCAAAGGCTATACGGACGTTATGAAGTTAGTTTATTTCGTGTAACTTTGTTTAACGGAGAAGATAATGTAAATTTTCAGGTTGTTGCTTCAGTGCGGAGCAGACATTGATTCGCAGGATTTTGATGGATGGACACCTCTGCATGCGGCTGCACATTGGGGTCACAAAGACGCTTGCCAGATTTTGGCAGAGAATCTGTCGGACATGGACGCAAAGAATTACGTCGTAAGTGCGGCATATGCCTATAAAAAGTTTAATTAAAAACGTTTAGAATAGTTGTCGTTTGTGTCGATGGTGAAATTTTTTTTAAAATAGGGTCAAACCCCATTTGACTTGGCGGATACGGACATGCTGAAGTTTCTAGAAGATCTCAAAGACAAGCAAAACAAAGAAGACGTGCTTAACAGGCGACAAGCGAAAAAAAGAGTCGAACTACAGGATAGGACTACCGAAACAGAAACCCCAAGTAAAGTTAAAAAAGTGGAAGTTGAAGTTAACAAAGAGGAAAAAGAAGACAATATTGGTAAGTTTAAGTGATTGTTGCGTATATTGCGATTTCTTTCTCACTTGTGATGCTTTTTTAAAAATGTTCTTTTGTTCTGCTGCTTTTAAGAAATGGACGTGTCTAGCGAAAGCGAATCCGAGACTGAAAGCAGTTCTGAAACAGAGTCAAACAGCACTGATGACGGTAAATTTTGTAAAGTCGTAATAACCGAAAAATTAATCTTACTCAGACTACGAATTATCGAGTATTGTAAAGAAACGTTTTAAAAATGAAGCATGTGAGAAGTAATGTAATTTAAGATATTGCTCTTTGTTTAGATATTTTCACGAATTGGTTCGTCGTCAATTTGTTCTTTTCAAAAAGTTGGTAGAGAAATGTATTGGTTGGGCGTGTAAAAATCTTAGGTGAAATTTATTGCGTCATTATGTTATAGACGAATCTTGAAATTCTGTTTTTTACTTCAGCATAAATTTTAATATCCCAATTTGTTTTGAACTCGTCAATTTTATCATAATTATTGAAAACATAAGTACATATTCATGTTTTACGCACATGTTCTATAAACTCGATTTTGTTTTAATCCTGTATATTACCCTTATATACGTTGCCACAGGGGAAACTCCTGAAGGGAACTTATTCTGATATTATAATTGTTGAGCATTTTTTGACATGGACGTTGTGATTTTTCTGGAAGGAAAAGATAAATAAATTTTACTAGCTTACTGAATGTTTGAACTCTTACGTGAGCTCTGAGACATACTGAAACTTTTAACGGTTCTGATTTATTTCTTTATTTATTTATTTTTAATAATAACTTCTGTGTGTAAAGTTAATCCGTTTTAAAAATATTCCCACTAGATGTATCGGCCGAGACATTCTCTATGTAACCGTTACTTTTAGCAAAATAATTTGGAAGAAATGCTTGTTTTATCGCCAGAGAGCGGATTTCAGCGGGTAATAATTCTACAAGTTTATAAAATTTGATTTTGCGATAGGGTGAGCCTTTCTTGATTTGATCGATAAATTAGATTGCTTCATTGATTTTTTTTTTTTATCATTCTGTATAACCGGTTCTAAGTAAAGTGTCACTCACAAAATGCCACCAGCATCAAAATATCAAAGAAAACAGTGGATTGTTAATGGCTGCTTCGCTATCGAGGACTACATTTTCCATTTTGATACAAACTCATTTTTCCAAGAAACCATAAATTCAAAACAGGAAGAAACGGAAACCGACGACGCCCACAATAATGAACACATTTTCGTTAGCGTTATACCATCTACAGGCTATTCCTAACATACATATCAAATTGAACAACAGTCGGTCCGGTAGTTTTAATAAAAAACAACACAGATTACAGACAGGCGGAAACGCGAGACCTACTTTTTCGTACTCTTGGGGCCATGAAACGTTCAGAAAAAAATGAAAATAGCCAGTTGTCGGATGGACCCTATTTCAACACTTCTTTAACTTACGCTCGGGAAATAAAAGGGTTAGTTTTCCTTCATGTTCACGTATATTCATTGGTGTTGATACTACACATTAGTTAAAAACGCAACGATTATTTATTTATTATGGTATTACAAATCCAGTTGTACAGAGGGCAATTTAGAAAGAAAAAAAAAAAACAACCATTGTTAGCTTACACAACGTTTAGTTACTTAAACTGAAATATAACCTTACTTACTTGGAGGTTACCCGCTATAGTCTGCTCTCAGTTTGATCAATTACAGCTTTTGTACCGTTTGTGTGATGTGTTTCTGTTTTTTCTTTCCTCGTAAATATTTATGCCTAAACAAGGAGCAAACTTTTTACCTCTAATCGCTAAAATTATTTGTTTAACACTTAACCCAATCAGTTAATATATATACTAAATCTTTTTATTTATTAAATATGTGAGGAAACAAATGCACACATTTCTTTTATGCTTGCAGAAAAGAAGAATAGGGTAAATTCCTTAGATTCAATTAGCATATCAAATAAAAATACAGAACCATCAAGACTGCCGCCTAACGTGCCTCCTAAACAATTAGTGGATACTAATAGCGAAGATAATTTACCTGCGTGGAGAAAAATTAATTCGCGACCAACCAAAGCTGATTTACCCAATCCACTTAAAACAACTGGTTAGTATTTAGCACTTGTAAATACAACTATGACATTAATCATTATGCATGAATAACGTTATTTTACTGTCGTCTCAATTTCAGGAGATATTAGTTCAGTTGAGCCTGTGAATAACGAAAATGACGTCACCATTCGAAAAGCAAACAGTTTACAGGCGGACAAAGAGTGAGTATATTTGTTGCTTGATCGACTTTACTTTTCAATAACTCCTTCGCAAAATGATCGCTTATTAACAGTTAATTTAACAGTTAAATTGGAGCTTTAAATTTACATATTTCATCTTGCAAAGGGGACCTATAACAAAATTAATTGCTTATTTTGTTCTCCTTAAAATTTATACTACTTTAGATTTTGTTATTATGATTTTATTTTGTAGTTGATGTTGCATTTTGTCGAAGATTTTTTTGAGCATGTATTTCGAAAACGTGAAATTGATAAAACGAACAACGTCTAAGGTAGTAACATAACGCCTCTAACGCTCTGACACTTGCTTATATGTTTAGGTTCTACTCGAAATATGAGGAACTGCATGCACGCATTAAGGCATATAGAAATTCCAATGACATAATAATTCCTTATTCGTCTAGACCTCATTCTGACATTATCCCAAATTCCTATAAAATATCTCAGCAGCATTACAGGTATGCACGATTAGTCTAAATTATATGCTCTATAAACATAAAGTGATGGTTTTCCGAAATATCAGTGCGTGATGTAAACAGTTTAATATGACGTTTGCCATCACTTTATATAAATAGGTTACATTAGTTGTTAAATTACGGTGAATTGACTTGACCGCATGATTGTACTGTGTGACAAGAAATAGTAGTTACTTAATATCCCAGAATATGTTTCTTACTTTTTGACAGTATTTTTGAATTGATAGATATTTTCGTACAATTATCAAATATAATACCTTACAATTCCTTAACCACTGTTGCTATACCCTTCTGTTAATCTAAACGCTTGCCTATTACTAAATCGGGTTTGACACAAGTGAAAAACATAGAATGCTAGATTGACATCTAAAAACAAGGGTTTGGCATAGGCTATGACTTCACAAGATACATCATTTCTAAAATTTTAATTTTAACGTATTTTGGGTGATTTGAATGACAGCCAAAATTTAATTTTTAGAAAATTTTGAACTATTAAATGTACACCCAAAGAAAACTAAAGACGTTTTTGTCTTCCTTGTACAGCAAGTGGAGAAACTATCGGACATTTCTCAATTTAAACATTTAAATATTTAGCATTAATACGTATTCCAAACCCTCGATCAGATGGTAATCTGGTATTTTGTCAGCAATTTATCTCCTTCTGCCAAATGTCATTTGTCTATAATTGTTGTGATTTCTGGTTTTTACTTTTACTTCTTTTTGTTAGAAAAATGGAAAATTAACTTTTGTTAATCATTTATTTATAATTATTTTTTTTTTTACATAGCAACTGTTCCAATATAAAATTAACACTCTTATTAAAATTTCATTTCCATCAACAACTCATTAACACCTTCTCCAAATTTTAAGGTTATGTCACTTGTTACTTGTCAATTGATGCTTGACATAAATTGTTCTTTCAGGTTTTCAAATTTAATGTTTCCAAGAGGTTTGGTAAATATGTCGGCGATTTGTTTTTCAGTTGAACAATACTTTATGTTTATAATACCTTCTCGCACCTTTTCATTTATAAAATGAAATCTTACATCTATGTGCTTGCTCCGTCGATTGAACTGTCCGGTTTTCACTATTGAGATTGCACTCTGATTATCAACGTACAAATCTATCTTCACTTCACCATTGGTAAGTTCATCAATTAGAGATTTGAGGTAAAGAAGTTCTTTAACACATTCTGCAGCAGATATATACTCAGCTTCTGTGCTTGAAAGTGAAACTATTGGCTGTTTCCTGGAACACCACGATATGGGTCCACCACAAAAAAATATTATGTACCCTGTTGTACTTCTGCGTGTTTCAGTGTCCCCTGCAAAATCTGAATCACAATAGGCAATCAATCTCTCACTGTTTTGGCCATCGTAGCACAGTCCATCATTTTTTGTAGATATCAAATAGCGAAACACTCTTTTTACTGTTACAATGTCTTGATTTGAAAAATTTTCCATTTTTCTACTACAGTAATTCACTGCATATGATATGTCTGGTCTGGTCTTGTTGTTTAAATATAATAAACTTCCAACAGCTTCTCTGAATGGATAATTAATTTTTACCATTTTATCTTCTGAACTTATATCTTGTTTGACCATGGGCGTAGGTACAGGTTTGGAGTTTTGCATATTAAATTTTTCTAAAGTTGCTTGTACATAATCTTGTTGTGAAAGTATAACTTTTCCATCATGTTTTTGAATACTAATTCCTAAAAAACTATTAGGATTTTTTTCACTTGTCATTTCAAATTCGGTTTGAAGATTTTTCAATAACAATTTCATTTCTTCTTCACATTTGCTGATCAATAATCCGTCATCTACAAAGATTGCTAATAACATGGTCTTTTCTGTATTCGTAAATAAACATTGATCACTAATCAGTGGTTTTAAACCATTCAGTTTTAAAGATGTAGTAAAACGTTCATTCCATTTCATAGGAGCTTGTTTTAGGCCATATAGCGATTTCGACAATTTACACACTTTGTTTTCAGTTTGTTCACATTTGAACCCCTCTGGTACATGCATAAAAATTTCTTCTGAAATACTTCCATACAAAAATGCTGTTTTTACGTCAAATTTGGTAACTGACATATTATACTTGGCAGCCAGTGCTAACATTATTCTTACTGAGCTTATGTTCACAACTGGACTGAATGTTTCGTTGTAATCTATTCCCTTATGTTGTTGGCAACCTCTTACTACCAACCTTGCTCTATATTTTCCATTATCTTTAACTTTGAATACCCACTTGCTTGTCAGAATGCGATGTTTGTCTACTTCATTTATATTCACGTAACTCCATGTAAGATTTTTATTCAGAGATTCTTTTTCTTCACGTATAGCCTCAAGCCATTTGTCCTTTTCTGGTCCCTTGACTGCTTCTTCATAAGTCAATAACGCTTCTTCTTCAACAAAGTTCACAATATAATCTTTAAGTTTTACAGATTGTTTTAATTTTCTTCCACTTCTTGTTTCTGCGATGCCTTCTCCTCTTCTTGATTCTGTGATGCCTTCTCCTCTTCTTGATTCTGTGATGCCTTCTCCTTCTCCCAAAATTATATTTTGTACTTCTATTTGATTTGGTTTTTGTCTAATGTCTTGTTCATTTTCAGTTTCGGTTTCTGAATTTTCACCTGTATTGTTTTCTTCTAGTTCTGCATTCTGTTCCTGATTTTCTTCGTCGCTTTCTATAACATTTATTTTGCTTGTTCTTCTGTAATCAGCCAAAGATTGACTACCTGGTTCATTGAAGATAACATCTCGGTGTATTTTTATTTCCTTAGATTTTTCATCCCATAAGCGGTAACCATTTGGTGCATATCCTACAAAAAGATACTTTTTACTTCTAGGGTCAAGTTTGTGTAAATTTCCCAGTGTCTTTGCATATGCTACAGAACCAAATATTTGTAATCTGGACAGATCAGGTTTCATTTTGGTCCAGTATTCTATTGGTGTTTTGTCTATTGCTTCTGTAGGACTTCGATTTAACAGATACGCTGCTACATACGCAGCTTCGCCCCAAAAATCTTTACTTAGCTTGCTGTCAAATATCATCGCTCTTGCCTTTTCCAATAAGGTTCTATTTAATCTTTCTGCTTTTCCATTTAGTTGTGGACTATGGGGTATAGAATAATCCAGAACAATGCCTTTATTTTTTGTCCAGAGTTTAAAATTCGATGACGTATATTCACCACCATTGTCACAACGTATTTTTACCACCTTTTGATTATGATAAGCTTCTGCTTCTCTAATAAAATCTTTTAAATGTTCTGATACTTCACTCTTATACTTCAATAGAAAAATTCTACAATAATGAGTATAATCATCTAACACTGTTAAAATGTATCGTTTTCCATCCCAAGTTTCAGGATCGATTGGGCCGCATACATCTGTATGTAGAATTTCTAGTGGTCTTCTTGCCCTCTGTCTCGTTGTATTAAAAGGGAGTCTTGTTTGCTTTGCTTCCATGCAGACTTCACAGAAACCCATTTGACACTTCTTTTTATTCAGTTTCATGCCTGTCGATAGATCTATTAATCTTTTTATATTCTTTGTTCCCAAATGTCCTAGCTTTCTATGCCAGTCTTTTACTGAAGTATTTTCTGCAAGATAACTCTCTTCCTTACTTTGATTTATACTAACCATATATAAACCACTTTCAATTTTTTTTCCTTCAAGTATTTTTTCATTGTTTTTCTTTATTACTACCTTTTCTTTAGTAAATGTTACTTCACCATCATTCTCTGTTATAGCATTAACTGACAGTAGATTTTTGCTTAATTCGGGTACAAAAAGTACATCATTCAGTATACATGAACTTCCTTCAACTGTTCCTTTCCCTTCTGCCTTCATTTTTTCATTCTTCTTTGCAACTTGTATGCTACTTTCGATATTTTCTAATGCTGTAAACATCACTTTCGAGTTGACCATGTGGGATGAACATCCTGAATCAACTATAAAATCTTGCGTTGTCAGTCTTCTGTCTTCTGTAAGAAAGGCTATCTTCTTTTTTTCTAATGATTTTGTCTTATCTCTAAAGAAACAGTCTTGCTCTTTATGGTTTGTTTTCTTGCAAATCTTGCATTGGTTATTTGTCTTTTTGGGACAGTTATTTGCAATATGTCCAGAGCATCCACACTTAAAACATTTTACTTCGCCAGTACCCTTTTCTTTCCATTTTCGGCAAAATCTTGTATCATGCGAACTACTTTTACAATGTTTACAAAATCTTTCTGAACTTTTAAATGCAATATCTCTCTCACTTTCCTTGCTACGGTTTTCTTCGGATAGTAGTCTTGCTATCAATTTTGGTAAGGTTTTCTCATTATCTTGAGTAGATTCCCAGGCAGTCCTGAAGAAACCATAACTTTGAGGTAAAGATGACAGTATTTTTGACATTAACATGTTGTCATCAACTGTTTGATTTAGACTTTTTAATTTGTGTGCAATACTCTCTATTTTGCTAATGTGAGTAGCCATATCAGTACCTTTTCCAAATGTGTAGCTGTAGAACTCTTGCAGCAAATTACATATTTGTTCTGAAGTGCTTCTTTCAAAAATATTTTTAATTTTTTCGAACATTTCTTTGGAGGTGGTGCAGTCCATAATGTGCATCATGTACTTTTTGTCTATTGACGTCACAATTAGTTTTTGCGCTTTTGCATCATTTCTCACCCATTTAGTTTTATCTTCCTCCTTTTCCACACTAGATAGAAGCTTGTCTCCATTTACTATTCCAAACAGATCATAAGCCTTAAATGTTACTACTATTTGAAATTTCCACAACTGATACGTGGTTTCATCTTTGAGCTTTTCTATTAAATTCACCTCTTCTGTCAACGCCATTATTTTTGTTTTTTTCCTTCTTATGTCACTGTCAAATACGTTTTCTTCCTTTTCGAGTTTTATTTCTCTCGTTAAGGTTCTAAAATTTCTTCTTCTAGCTTTACTGCCTCAGTACTTGCGAGTACTCTGGGCCCATAACCTGTTGTGATTTCTGGTTTTTACTTTTACTTCTTTTTGTTAGAAAAATGGAAAATTAACTTTTGTTAATCATTTATTTATAATTATTTTTTTTTTTACATAGCAACTGTTCCAATATAAAATTAACACTCTTATTAAAATTTCATTTCCATCAACAACTCATTAACAATAATGACACCCGCTCAAAAGTTAAAAGAAAGAGCTAATTTTCGAGAAGAACTGCTTAATGCACACGTTATTTCGCTCTTTATTTTTTCTATCCTTTATTATAGTCGTGGAAAGCACAAGTAGCAGACCGAACTTTTAAGGGCGTCACAGGATTACCATAAAAGTATAAACTTCTGTAAAAAACAACGTTTATTACTCTTTTCTACCTGGTCTGGCCCTATTTTCAATGCCACTCGCTCGGCTCATCGTCATGACAGAAGTTCATAGTTTTGTGGTACATAATCCTAATGCGGCCTTAAAAGTTGGGTCTACCACTTGTGCTTTCTATGACCATGATCTAATCTTCCTAACATTATATTCTTTTTCCACATTTCTTTTATTTTTATCGTTTGTGTGTGTGTGATGTTTTTTTCTTTTTGCTCGTAACAGCAATACCTCCTATGATTCGATGTTTTTATACCGTTTTCTAATGTCACCAAGTCGTACTTCCTGGATATAGACACAAAAAGCGAATAATGTTATAAAAAACGATCGTGATTTGCTTTTTTTCTTTTTATCTACATTCGAATTATTTATGAATATCCATCGCGTGAATTCGTGTATGCAAGTAACCTTGCATATAGTACGACATATTTTATATTAAAAATAATGGGATGTGCGATAGACAAGAGATCAGTATCTAAGGTTTGCCGTTCGCTAAAGGGAGGGAAAAAGACGTGGTGGTTTTCTGAGCCTCCCGTCCGCTTATCTGTCGACAGTGGTCCAGTCCTGAAGGATGCAAACAATCACATGTAACAAAAACTATTCTGTGTTCTCTTGTCCGCATTCCTGCACAGAATCAAATTAAATTCATTTTTACTTGCATGAACTCAAAATCACTAAACGTTAAAAGAAAAAAGAAAGAGTAGTAAAAATAAGAAAGAATACGTATTTTTGTAATTTTATGAAACTTTAACAATTTAGGTGGGTAATAATACCGACATTTTTTAGTAAAATGTATTTTTTTTTAATTGTAGTACTAAAGAAGATAACGAGAATAACACCACATCCGTTGTTAGTACAACGACCACACAAACAAAAACATCACCTGTAGCGACGAGTCCGTTATCAAATAATCAACCGCTTAGAAGGTAAGAATTTTTCGTGTCTCTTAACTAGGGTACAAAAAAGAAATTGTAAGCTTGATGTAATGTGATTATTGTATGTGGTGTAGTTTCAAGACTGACTAAAAACGTGTGTTCAATTAAAGTTTTAGACAGTCTTCTTAATGTGCAATTATTAGTGTTTTGTTTATATTGTGTATTCTTTTGGTAGTGGTTTAAAATTACCAATTGGCACAAATCAACCTATCACTGTTACTACTAGCACAGCCACAGTTACAACTCCCACAACTCCTGGTGGCACTAGACTACAGATGTTTAAAAACTTCTTTAAGTATGAATTCCAGTATTCATTGAAAAGTGTTAATTTAACAGCGTTTTACACCTTTGCTTACTAAAGTGTTTGTACGTAGCATACTAGCATATTTGACTTTTTTTCGTTTTGCTATCTCTTTTGATTATAATATGATTATTTTTCCTTTTTCGCAACGCCTTGAATCCCAAATTGCAAGTTATTAACAGGTTTGCCCACGTAATCTATATTAAAATTAATTCTACGTTAAACTGTTAATAATTATGTTTTAAATAAATACAATATTCAAGCTGAGTTTTTCTTAAAGATCTTTTGTACCGCCTGTTCGGGACGAAGAGAGCGAAACTCAAAGGAAAGCTCATGCCAAACGCGTTCGCGAAACGAGACGTTCCACTCAGGGAGTGACATTGGAGGAAATAAAATCAGCTGAACAATTTGTCAAAAAGAAGAACCAACCGAACCATAATAACAATAACAACGATCAAGTGAGTATGTTTTGTTTGTATTTTTTCAGAACATCTCGACTTAATGGCAAATGTCGTGAATAATGTTTGAATTGCTTTTCATCATCATCATTTAGTTCGTTGTTAGGAAAAAAATCAAAAGTGCGAATATTGTGTATAATCCTCATCATTGTGATTTACGTAATCACCTAATATCATGTTTGTGTACTAACAGTCTGGAGCTAACGGGGATTCCTCTAACGGAGTGAGTGTAACCGCTACAATAACCACTGCGACACCTACAGTTATAACACGTGATACTGAAGAAAATAGTGCTGCGCACGAGCGCAGACCTTCTTGGAGACTGAAAATAGACAGTAGTAGTAAGGTAAGTTTGTTTATGGAAAATTCATACTCTGCCTTCTTTGCTTCTCTTTTTTATCTAGCTGTTTTCTCGCACCGAAACAAATAGAAATAATTTTGTTGTTTTTGGGTTTACTAGGTTAAAGGTACTATAGATAGATGTATGTATATACCTACATAAGTGAACTTCAAATAAATTGCAAGCATAGAAGAAAATACCGAGGAACGCTTAAATTTTTTTCTGGTTCTTTGTGTCTGAAATACATATTATAACTGTAATCGCTAACATTACGAACATTTAACGACTCGATTTTTTACCTCTCATTTGGTTGATGTTGTGTTGCTTGTCTAAGTTGTAATTGCGTAAATTAAAAAATCTTACAAGCGCACATATTTGAAGTTAGTTATACTATTAAACTGGTAATTTTTTTCTTTCATATCGGATATAGTTTAAACTGGAAGATGCCACCAAACCCTCCGAAACACCAAGCACTCCGTCCTTTGTTCGTCGCACCGGAGTACAAACCAACGCAAATCCTAGGCCGTCGTCGGCTCCGGTGGATACAGCCGAAACCACAATAACGTTGCCTTTAAGAAGACCAAAGTCACAAGAGGAAAAAGGTTTGCAATTTGTGAATTCTCGATAGGATTCTGATTTGTTTTTTTGCTATTATCAGAACAAGATAAAGAAAACGACGTTCGAAATGCTCAAGCCACTCTTGCTACTCAAGCGGCCATCCAGCGAAGGCGACGACCGAAGAGAAGATCGACAGGAGTAGTGTCTTTTGAAAATATGGATGTAAGCCTTTGAAAATTAGCGTTGAACATTATTTATTTTGTGTGCGTGTGTGTGTTTTGTGTCAGGATATGGACCAAGACAAGGATCCATCAGGGGGGGGCGATTATGAAGATAATTCCAAAGTAAATCATGAAGAGGTAAGTTATTTTTAATGTAGATGCGACATTGATGCGGGAAATTTGTTCGTAAGCTAGATTATTTTCGAGATACTCCTCTACCCCACTTTCTTTTTACACGTATTGCCTACTTTGGGAAATCTTTAGCTATGCATTGAGATTACCTGTTAATACACTGTCCCGCAAAATTAACGCAAAAGTTAAAAATTTTATTTTGCACATGGCGTTTAATTCAAAGAACTATTTATCACAAAAACTAAGAATACGTAAAAAGAAAGACAAAACATGCGTCCCTGTTTTTATTAAAAAATATTTTTCTTTTGTTAAAAAAGTAAAGTATCATTTTAATAACGTGATCAATAAGAAATTAGAAATTTGATTAACAGTATGCCACGAAGAATGAGAGCTGTTATCAATGCTCGAGGAGGCAATACACGTTATTAATTCTAACTGAGCGACGTTTAGAGCATTATCAAATGAGATGATATTTTTTGATTTCTTGCAATTTGGTTCCAAATCATTATTAGTTTGTTGTTTTTGTCGATTTTTGTTCTGGAATTTCTATATTTGATTTAATATAATTACGAATTAGGGACCAAAGTGGAAAAAATAACAAGATTATCTAAAAAAAAATAAAGTCTTAAAATTTTACGTTAATTTTGCGGGGCAGTGTAGTAAAATGCCGACCAAAATTTACCTGTTTATCTCCTCCAAAATTTGACGACATGCTGTGTAAATGTCGAATGCATCCATGTTTTTAACTTTAGATATACGGTTTATAATAAAAAATATATACAACAAAATTTTACGATGCGTCCTAGAACCTGCATAACGAAACTTCTTGAAATTTTGGTAAGATATAGAAGTCATCATTAAAAAAAATCGATAATTTTTCATTATATATACATATGTGTTAAAATGAAATATTACGAAAAATTCTAGGTATAAGAGTACACTCTACATGTATGCAGAATTGACCGTGCTTGAGGCACGAAGGAAGTTAGGTCTAAATAATTTTAGATCAATTGCTTAGAATTGTTCATATAGGATATCTCAAAGTAATCAACGCACGGAGCAATTTATTTTAATAATTAACTTGGAACGTCCTATATATTTTTTTCTAGATTCAATCGGGGTGCACTGTTTTAACCGTTTAGTACATAAGATTTTTAAGTAATGAAAGTGTACCGCGGTTGATACTACTGAAAAATAATAATGTAAAATAACGTTAAATAAAGTCAGTGATTTCCTCTAGTCTGTTTTAGATTTTCTTCTTGTTAACTGCAAATTTTGTTTCATCATACACAAGAAGACATCTTGAAATACAACGTTTTAAATTTAGAGTCATTATAAAAAAGAAGAAAAAGATTTAACGCAAATTTAACATTCTAGATAATATACTGTTTTATTATTTTAACGGGAAGTGAACGATAATTAGGATGCTGTATTTAAACCACAACCAGTTTCTCCCAAGTATACATGCTTAAAATAACTTTCACTGTTCCTAAATATACCGATTATCTCAATATTCACCACCAAGCACGCATTCGAAGTGGAGTACATTATAACTTTTTGTCCAAACGCATCTCCATAAGTTTATTCCATCATTTAGATACATTAAAGCCACAATCAGCGGTGTATAGATGTTTATCGACGATAAATGTGTCATAGATTTTTTAGCATTTTTTTTTCTTCTTCAGTAAACATTTTCAGAATGTTGGCACCGCTCCAAAAAAAAAAAAAAAATGTTACCTACATACGAATGTCAGTAAGCAAACATGTGACACAGATATTCTTTTTTGTTCAGTTATAATTTTTGTATCGTTTGCGTAGGCATCCTTTTGTTCATTGCCTCGACGTAGCATTATTACTACGTACAGGACGTGGGCGCGCGTGTATTTCTGTAATTTTCAGGAACACATGCATACCTTGAAATAGACTTTGATTCCAAAACAGCAGTCTCGAAAATACAGAATACCGTTCGTGTCATTGTAAACATATAGTTATGTGTATTAAGAGTAAAAAATGCTCAACTGAAAAAACAAACCAAAGAAGTAGAAGACTAGCAACTGCTGATCGCATCAAAGAGCATAGCACTGAACTTATAACAAAGATTATAATTACATAGCCAAGGCAATTTTGTACTTTAACACTTTAAATGTTGTAATTTTTGGAACTGAAGTACAAAAAATTAAACAAAATGTTATGATACAAACTCTTTCTGACCGTATTAAATATGTGATGCATACGTGATGGCGTTCACTTCACAGCATTAAATACTGTGGCTATGAACTAGTAATTTTTTAATTAGTTGCTTCAAAATTGTTATACGCCTATGTACCGGTTGGACACCCAAAATTCCTGTCTACTATCTAAAGACAGTCCAACGCGGCCCACCGTACCAATATGAATTCAGCGGTCAAGTTAACGTACGATCTTTCCTTTTCGCACATACATATTTACATGTGCGATAAGACTCTCGTGGAAACCTAAGAGAAGTATTATTATTGTTACTCGTGCGAAAAATCTTCGTTAAACTTTTGAGAACCTCTGCACTCTTACCCTATACACGAAACTAAAAAAAGATAGACTCATTTAGTGAGATTTAAATAGCTACCCAGTTTGTTGGTGTACACTAGAGTTTCCATAGAGTTCAGTCTCATGTGTTTCATGTTCTAGTTCAATGCGAAAGTCGTTTGTGATGTTTTCATTCGCCGTCTGAGTTTTACGTATTGTGTATTTCCCGTTTCGACATCTTTTGTCTTGAGTTGGTGAATGTTTGCTATTTAAATGCGGTATAATTTTCTCTGAACATGTCATTTCACGGAAAACAACCCGTGCCTCCTCTGAGACGTCGGTCAGCTTCCGCGGTTAGGAGTAACGGAAACTCGTACACCAATAGACCTAGAAGTGTTGGTTATTATGGAGCAAACACGGTCGCTTACAGTTCTCCATACACAACCTCGACACATCCTTATTCTTCCTATAACAATAACTACACATCGACATACAAAAGTCCATATTTTCCGAATGGTTACAGAAGTGGTACAAGTACAGGGTATGCAAGTTTGACGATCCCAGCTAAAACTCTGGCCAATATAAATGTTATAACGCCGAATTATTCGAAAACTTACGAGAATAGTAACGATTACATTAAGAGCGACACGGGACATAAATCTCGAAGAGATCTTGGTAGAGCTGGTAGTTTTAATAGGGATAGGTCGCTATCTAGATCTCGTCATTCCGTAGCTAGTAGTGGTATGGGATCAAAATCTATAAGTTTAACGTCTTTATCGTCCGACGGATATATTGTAAGGTTTCAAGCCATCGAAGTTCCTGTACCAAGTAATATTTTTCTTCCAGAGTGGTAACGATAGATCCAGCCGTTCACGATTGGGAAGCACGTCGGATATTAGGAACGAAAATGGTGAAATAGACTACAAAAAACTGTACGAACAAGCTCTGTCTGAAAACGATCAGCTTAAAGAAAAATTAAAAAAGACAGACCAAGAGTTGCGGGACACAAAACAAACATTAGAAAAACTCAAAGTTGTAGTAAGTGTTTTTGTTACCGAAATAAAACCAGGTGTGTCATCATATCTTTTTATAGACTAGTAAAAATTCATTGTCAGAACTTGAAAAGAGGGAACGAAGGGCCATGGAACGCAAGCTGAGTGAGATGGAGGAGGAATTGAAGGTAAGCTTTTTAATTTTTCATCGATTCATTTTTATTTCTTCCGACATAAATGCATTTTTTCACAACTATTCTTTTTGTAGTTTGCAGCAAGCTTTGTGTTGCAACTTTTTTTTTTTTTTGGATGATTTTTTACATTTTTTACGAAAACATTTTAACATTTTTTCAGTACTAACATAATTATTAATATTAACAACATACAACACTACATGTTTTCGGATTTTTGTTTTTGTTTTTTTCCCCCATCACAAACATTAAACAATGCACAATTTTGTAAATAGTAGTTGGTTATTAATGTTTTACAGTTTTTGCATCGTTGCCTTTTTCTGGATGATGCAACTTTTTTTACTCGTAAAATTGGAGCACAGCGTAGGATAAAATTACGTAAAAGATGTATGACGGTATCTTTTAACAGTTCAATTATTGTGGTCGTGCTGCAAATCGTTTTTATAGCCCATGATTCTGCCTTAACATTGTTATGTAAAACTTAATTTGTTTACCAAGGAAAACAATACCAAAATCAAAAAATTAACAGTAATTGTACACACACAGCAAATTGTGGACTTTGTTTATGATGTCGATGTTTTTGCGATTTTGTCGTTTCCCGTTTTAGATGACTTTCTTTTCGATTCTTTTAAAATAGTTGGTAATTTTTATACCTATCAGTTTTAGTTTTATATGCAGCAATATTTTTCTTAAAGCAGTAATTAGTTGTTTGACCGACCATGCATCATTGAAAACGCGTGATAATTTTAGTTTCAAATTGCATTCTGTTTTACAAGAGACAAAATTTTTAAAAATAATCACACACTGAAAAATAGTTTCTTGGTTCATTTTGGGAAAGTGCTTCTTCTGTATTCGCATTTCTTAATTTTACGTTTGTGTTTTTCGTTTTAATTTTTAGTTACTTGTTACTTTTTTACCATAGCTACGACTTGGAAACTATTGAAGTTTTACTTTTTTTTTTTACCTCGAAATGTTTAATTTCTTAAAGCAGGTTCCTCTCTTTACCGTCTATCTGCTGGCGGCTGTTGAAATGTTTTACAAAACATAATTTCCATACCCATTATTCTAGAATTTTGTTCAAGATTAATTGAAATTTTTGTATTATTTCTATGCAAATCTCAAACGAAATGTGTAGCATAAAATCATCATTTGTGTGTCCACATAACCTTAAGGAAACTGATGGCGTCATTTTAAAAAGTTATTAAATGCGACGTTAACTGCGCCTTGATACGTAGTTGGTTGTGCTTTAAATGCTAGAAAAATTAGATACAAATAATAATTCGCAGAAATTACAACTTTGGCAGAAGCTACAAGAAATATATAATTCCTAGTTAAGCAATATTTGCTTTTGAAGTATACATTAACAACCTGCTACTAAACAGTGCAATGAAATATAAATACCAGACACCGCCTTCCTCCCTCTGGTATCAAAATGAGTAATTAAGTCAAGGCGAGATCTAAATCTATAAATAATCAGCCAAACCTAATTCTGTATGTACAGCTTTTTCATTATAATTAATAGCTTTTCATGTGTTGCTCTAATTTTATCAGTAAATCCAAAACTTATACCAGCGCATTAATGCCGTAACTTTGGAAGCTTGTTAAAAATTATTTTTTTTTACGAGGCTTACACGTATATTCTATAAAATGTTAATTAACATGTCACGATATTTTCGAAAGATACACACTTATTATTGTTTTAGCAATTACAAAAATTGAAAGCTGAGAATGAACGTTTAAAGGCTGACAACAGGTCTCTCACACGCGTCATCACCAAACTTACCAACTCTCCAAAAAAATAGGTAAATTCGACATAACGCAATGCAACTGATTTCGCTCATTTTATCAAACTGTTTCGTGTTGTTCATTATTCTTTGTTTTATTACTGTACTTTTTGTTTGTTGTTCAAATGTTGAATGATGTAGAACGCATTTACACACTTAATATAAATATATATCTATATATAAAAAAAAATTACCACTAACTTACTAATAAATTCTCACATTTCAAGTTTGTGCAATGTTTTTTGTTTGTCGTCTAGTGTATGTGCTTGATGTTTACTCTTTCTTGAATGTTTCACTTTTAGCTTTTCTTTTTCATTATTATTCAGATGGCGGAGTCGTGGCTTTTAATAATGTATTGTGAGATGATGATGTGAGCATGATTTTAAAATATGAATATTTGCCTTTGCATTATTATTTACGCAACGATTTGTTGACATTTTTTCAGCAGTTGGATATCATGAAGGTAGAGAATCAAAAACTTAAGGACGAGAATGGAGCGCTTATTAGAGTGATTAGTAAGTTATCAAAATAGCATAAACCTTAGAACTTTTAATTCATCCTATTGCATTTTACGTTAACGGCGACTTCAGTGCTAATACTATTTCATAGTGTGAAGTCGTTTCCTTCCTTTTCTGTTGTAACCAAGTATTATTGTTACTTTAATTTATTGCAAATGTAGTTGACTATTTTATATGAAACAAATGACCATACATCCGCATATGTTGACAAAAATTGTGTGTTAGATTTCTTAACAGATTATGTTTTAGTAGTTTGCTGGTTGTGTGATATTATGATATATATTTGCTTCTTTTAACTTATTCGTGCGTCAGGAAACGTTTAGGAAAGACATGGAACTCTTTTTAATCATATATATATTGTGTAAAAATTTCGTTTTAAACCAACAGACATGTCAATTTCAAGTATATTTTTTGTACGCAGACAAACTTGTATTATAATAATTGTATTTAAATGTAATGTACTTGTGAATAACTTATTAACAGTTGTTGTGATTTTAATGTTATAAAATATACATACATTAAGTATTTGTTTTCTTGATATTTTTTATGATACTTATGGTGAATGTTTACCATTCAAGATAGGTATTGTAAATTTGTTTTCCTTATATAATGTACAAAATCACTTTTAACAAAAAAAAAAAAAATGTTTAAATTGTTAGAATATCTAGTCCAAAGATAAAAAACTTGTGACAAATTTTGTTAAACACTTTTCACTTGTTAATGTTGAACTGTCAAAGGCTATACTGATTCTAATAAGATCAAGTTTATAAATTTTATATATCGATTTGCTCCAAGAGTTGCATAACTAATAGTGAACTAAAATTTTCAGTTCGCACAAATAGTGTTGTCTTCATTAACGGAGTTTAAATTTGTGTATGAAATTCTCCTTGTTTCTAATATTTTAATGTCGTTTCATAGAACTTGTGCCTTGAGTTTCTTTGTATTTATTGCATATTTTTTTAGTTACTTTGTAAATTATTTTATGTATTTATTCATTGTTTAGAGGCTGGTAGTGTATAATGTGAACATTGATTTTATAGCTGATTCTTTAATAAAAACCTTAAACTCCTCAGGAGTTAAGAACTGTAAAAATATGTATCTAATTGACCCATCGTCCCACTTTGTATGCTATCTTAATCTGGTTTTGTATTTTTGTTGGACAACTGTTAGGTTTCACCGAATGTCATGAACTGTCGCACCCCAGACGAATTCCGTTGTTCTTCTAATTTTCACTGCATACATCATCTGTCGTTAGAAATTGTGCATCACGCCAAAAATAAATTTTTGCAGATATCTATAATCATGAAATATTTACACCAAAACTTGGAAGTATATGATGTATTATTAAAATGAAAATTACATAAATATATATACAAATTCAACAAAATTATAACAACTAATAATTTAGGAATTTCCACAACACTGCCTTGTAGGTGGTGGAGGAACTTGATCATCATCGACGACAACCACATTACGTCTCTGCGAATTCTGCCTGGACAGCGGCGCATTTTGTGCCTCCTTCTCTTCAACAGTCTCCAGCATTTTCTGTGTGAGTGTAAGAAACATATCTTCGACACCTTTATTTAACTTGGCAGATGTTTGAAAGTGAATTGCTCCCACTTTACTTGCGTAGCTATACTCACGATAAACATGAAACAAATTTCCACTATAGAAATTCACAAAACTTACTTTTCTGCGTCCTCCAAACTAACGTGCCTGTTTTTCTCAAGATCAGTCTTATTTCCTGCAATCACCAGGCAAATGTCGGCTCCCAACATCTTTCTTAATTCCTTCACCCAACTCTTGACTTTCTGAAAAGAGTCTTCATCTGTTATGTCATACACCAAGACCGCTCCATTTGAAGATCTGTAGTAGATTGGTCCTAAGGCATGGAATTTTTCTTGACCAGCCGTATCCCAAATGGCCAGGTTGATTCGTTTGCCGTCTATGTTTAATTTTTTATTTAGAAATGACGCCTACGGAAAGTTAAATCGCACATAATCCTCACGGCAGTTTGGTACATTACCTGAACTGTACTGACGTGATTTGTGTTAAACTTATCTTCTACATATCTAAGCACAAGACTTGTCTTTCCCACACACCCTTCCCCCAGTAAGACTACTTTGAAATTGTAACTTCCAGAGTTGCTTGCCATTACTTAAATCTTCACTCGAGAAGTGTTTATTTCATTCACCATAAAAACAATAATCCCTAATTCTGGAATCTGTAGGCTTACTATCTAGTTTACGTTGTGTTTATGCCACTGTACATACATGAAACGTGTTACAGTTGTACGCAATACTGAAGAACACGGGCTATGATTGCATTTTCAAAAATACCATCGACAAACAGAAATTTGCGATTACATTTTCACAATCAGCTGATTGCTCTTTTTTTCTTACTGTATGTAGGCGTGACTTGCATACCTGTCGAAGTAGTTCTGCAAACGGACGCCAGATGGCTTTCGTTAATATTTAAAAAACAAATTATCTATAAACTTTTGAGGGGATTTCGGGGCGTGAAATTAGTGTTTTTGTCACAAATTCTAAACTCTAGTCGAGTGAATTCGAAATCAGTCGATATTTCATTCACTTATCAGTGCAAACATTTCAGTTGTAAAAGGAAATGTCATCTGAAATTTTGACGTCACGCCGGAAGTGGTTATCAAAACCGCGTCTAAAATTTTCTAAAGTGTTGAAAAAGTGGATTTCGACAAACATTTGAGTTATTTCGTGTTACATATAAATACGCATGACGATTTATGTTTATTCGGGTTCGACCGCGAATTGAGCTTAATCGAAAATCTTTTAAAAATGAAACTGGGCACTGTGGTTGCGCGCTCGAATGCGCGGTGGTTTATCTGTGTTTCTAGCCGTCATCTGTGTTGTATTGGTAAGTGAAGTACTACTTTTCTGTCAACTTTTTCTTTAAAACTACATGAAAATATCGAATGATTCCTACGAAATTTAGTAAATTTAAGTTATAAGTTTCGTTTGGAGCGAGTGTCATTCCAAATTATCACGTAGTTCATTTAAAAATTGCATCTTTTCATTGGCGTCATATCAATTAGAGGCAGCGTTTGTTAAAAGCACGGTACGAAGCATTGGAAGCAGGTCAAATATTCGCATGTATTCGAACAGTTTGAGATGTATAGTCGATGACTGCGTTGAAATTCGACGGAATTATCGTCGAATTGTTGTAATTGATGCAGAATTACGGGTTTATTTGTTATCTTGTTTGCTTCGCGAAGTCGGGACGTTTGGCACGTAGGCCGCTTTCTCTCAATATGCACGTGTTGAGGTGTTCTAGTTTTGTAATTATATCAAAAAGACCCCGAGAAGAGTTGATTTAAATACGGTCGAAACGTCGAATGACGTGTCGGGGTGCAAAATTGTTAAAAATTTCGGTTAATGAACTTGACACCATTTACCCCTTAGGCACGTCTAGCATAGAAAGTACACGAATTCTTAACAACTTGATGCATTTCTTTATTAATGACAGTGTTTTCGTTTTTATGTAACGTAAGAATTTTAACAGCACAAAATGTTTCGTAGGACAGTCGCTCATCGGTAGCAAAAGCTGTTTTCTCTATTGTCAAAAATGTCCCGTGATAATTCTTGAATACTGGATAGGTGGTATGAGTTGTGTGCTCATGATATGCATGTATGTCTTTGTGCATGTATAGAAATATGTTACGCCCACCCAAAATTGGTAAATTTCGGTTCGTTGAACTTAAAAGACATTAAAGATATCTAAGGGTCCAGTGTTATCTTCTCATTAGTTGTTTCTCGTTTATCAATTATTTTATTGTACACTGTGCAAGACATGCGTAACGAAATGTGCAACGGTCATAGTCGGCGTAGTGTTGTGACAGCCGACAGCCGGCTTCTTCGCAACACCACGCTTCGGTTCATCATGGCCGACGTTGATTTTTTAGGACTTTTATTTTAATTATTATTATTAGGACATGGTTATAGTAAATGTTTCTTACGTCGTAGGTGGATTAAACAAATCCAGTTTTGGCAAATTCACAGGTCAAACTTTTTTTAAACCACCTACGACGTACGAAACATTCGTGAACTGTATAATAATTTTATTTTTTGTTTTATTTTTAAAATTTGAAACAACTATACGACTGTGAAGCAAATATTCCGTAGTCAAATATGTTCAAATTTGTAGAAAAAGAGGCGACGCGGTGTTGGATTAAAAACTTTAAAATGCGTGCAAATAAAAAAGAAAATATGGCTTCAATTATTGTATGTATTACAAACGGCGGTTTTCCAGTATTTACAAAATTTACTAATGTAAAATGTAAATGTGTAACGACAAGAACGTTAAAGTGCATAGAAATAGAAACAATATTTGATACATGTATGGGAGATGGTCCACGCGCAAAAGGAAACACCTCTAGACGGGAAAGTTTATAGTGCCACGTGTCATTCTCGTATGTTTCCTATTGTTGTGTCTGGAAGCTAACAATACCGTATTTTAATCCTCAGTTTGCCTCACAGTTGTGAAAAGCTGTTCTTAAATTCGTGAAAAAAGGCAGCGGCAATACCTAATTCATTAATTAAGAGTAACAGATTTAACAATTGCAAAGTGGGCGAAAAAAGTGTAAAGCAAAAAAGACTAATGGTAACCTTGTGACTGTAATTTATAAAATAATTCACATATGTTTGAGAACTACAATATCTTTCTTTCTCCCTTTCGCCTTCTCGGAATCCCCGGTGATTACTGATCTGCCGTCGGCCTAAAAACCAAATTAATTTGCGCCGTTTCCAACATAAAATATAACAGAAACATTTAAAAAGAAAACTTTAATTATTTGCATAGAACTTCCCTCGCCTTCGAAGCGTACGCAATGCAGAAAAATAGCATTGTTGAGCGTTATAGCTCTCCCATAGGTTACTGAATGTTTCAGGGCGACTAGAATTTGCTACCTGAGGTAGGATTCTTGGTACTCAATAGCCGTGGTTTTCGATTGATCCAATTCGCATTGAAAAACACAATCGTTATCGTTAAAAACACGGTAGTGACTTGAGACGAGTAGTAACAGTAATAAATATCTTGGAATTTTTCAACAAATTACAAAATTGTAGTTTTTGAATAAAATAAAAACTGAGCTCCCCATCTAAGCACTAAAGGCAAAACGCCGATAAGTAGAGAAATTGAGGTGATGGCAAAAGCATTAAATTACGACACTGAATTTTTAACATTCCGTTGTCGGACAACAAAAACAGGCTTCTGTTGCACTTGCCATATATTATTTATACATACGCATAAAGGAATGATGCGAATAGCAGGAAAGGATTAAAAAAAAATGCGAATATCAAAAAAACGTCCAAGTTAAAGCGCCAGAGTATCGAAAATTTATGACGTACTTTGGAATACAAGTATTTGTAACACGCCACATGAAGCCAGCGTCTTCATCGATTCGATCTCTAGACGTAGACGCGTGGATGATGATGCTGTGGGTGAACGTCCTTTAAAGTTCCTCGAGTTTGTGCATCATTTCGCATGATAATGCTGTTTACGTCCACACGCAACCAATGGTGCAAAATCGAATCACGGACGTTTTGTGTCTATTTTAATCCTCGAGACCGTTACCATGTCTACGTGGTGGGGCCCCTGGCGCCTCAAACGACGATTAGTCGACCTCTTTTTTGATATTTCTTCTTTTTTTACAAATCACGGATTGTAGTATAGGTCATGCTTTCAATATTGGCTGACTAGGGTTTCTGTTTTGGTCAGATTATACTTATCAGGTGTTTACTGATTGATAAAACGAATGTATTTCTTGCGGATTGCAATAAACATAATCCGAAAATAGCCACATTATTATTTTCATGATGCCAAAATACGGTTTGATGACGATACGGCATTGTCGACATGAGTATTTATTGTGAGATTTTGGTGTGAAGTTACGGTGTCTTGGAAATATGTAGTAGCAATTTGAATATCGTCCGGTGCCTAAGTGGGCCGTAATTATGGTAGCCTGAGTTGTAATCTGTAGCTTGATAACATTAATTATCGTAATAACTATAATTCAGCTGATTCTCGAATACGATTTTTTAATCGGCGAGGCTACTGTTTGAAGTTTTGGCGTAAAGACGTTTACACGAAATCCATCAAGTCGTTACACGGGAATATTTCCATACGAAGTTGTCACCCAAACGCGCTACATACATATAATAACAATAACGCTGAATAATGCATTTATTTTTTCCCACTTTTAACATGTACCGGTACTAAAAGTTACAAATTTAATTATATGTAGTAATAATGTAAATTTATTTTCAACAGACGAATGTCCATAGAGAAAACACAACACTAATAAACAACAATATTTTACTTAAATGTGTATAATACTGACTCAGCCTAAAACACTATTTGATTAAATAAACGCCATAGCTGTTTTTGACACTAACAACACGAAAATTTACTTAAAAGTCTATTTTATCGAAAAATATATTATTATACAGCCTAAAACGTGTTAACAGCGGACTATTAAAGTGGTGAAATGTTGTTTGTACGTCAAATTGAAACGCAACATAGTTTCCGGAGTTCAGTCTATAAACATTGAAGCGAATGTATTCCAAAAAATTTAAACAAGTTAATTCTCCCTTAATTATTTTTTGCAGGAATATTAAACTGGCAACATTTCTCCTAGAACAAAGTGTGTTTCCATTAACTAAGGTCAATAATAATTTCTGTTCAACGTGCCAAGGAAGATGAGCCAAACAGCACATGTTTGCAAAACTTGCGAAGAACATTTTCTAACAAACCTATGTATATACCTGTTGGTGCGGATTCCAATTATGTTGGAGTGGTGCAAGACAAGCGTTTTCTATGTTATTGTAGCACTTTTTCAAAATATGTGTAATGGAAAATTGCAGTAAAGGAATTCAGTCCGATTGACTGAAAATGTCGTGACACATCATAATCTTAACCGTAATTATGTTAGATGTCGTAAGTGGAAAATAGCTGAGATTACATTACATCGTAACAATATGCTAATTTCTCGTTGTCAGCATTCATAACTATCCTAATATTTTCGACAGTAAATCATTCATTCCAAAGAAACAAACAGTGACGAGCGCGGCGGCGTTCATTTATCTGTTTAACGTTATTGATAATGAACATTGCTTTTTTCTTTTTCATATCTGCACATTACATAGCGTAACATTGGTTTATTTATAGACAGAGTATTTACATTCATTTGCTCGGTAGATAAACTTTAACTTCTTACCACAACAATACCACAAAACACTACATGTGGTCGAAATGAATGTGCAACACCGGTTATTGTGCCAAACAATCAGGTAATCTGTTTGTGCCCTTTCATATTTTTTCCTTAGCCGGGTCAATGTCGCCACTGTCCAATGCCAGGTGATTGTGGGGATTTATTGTAATATACGGCAATTAATTGTTTAAAGGTCATCAATTCCAAGACGTAAGTACGACCAACGGTCTAAAAAAAAACTTTAATTGAGATTGTTTTAACCACTGGCAAATAAGTCAGAAAGTTTTGTAGCTGCTGCATCGTTAGAAATTTTAATACAATATTCGTCAGGGGCGGACCTTTATGCAGCCAATTTTCATTGGCGAGCAGACAAAGACCTGACAGCGTGAGGGTCATTCGTCAAATTATCAATATCAAGTATTCAATAACATACTACTTTAAAATATTGGCAACTAACCTGTGTTGACAATACGTTTTAACGTTTTGAACATTTTTTATGTAATTCTATAAAAGTACTGTACCGCTAATATTTTTTCTTTGGCAAATTAAAAAGCAAATAAAACCAAAAAAAATCGTCGTGTTTTTTTTTTTTCGAATTGGGCGTTTAAATATCATGCCGGCATGTCTTGCTTCAAGAACAATAATTTTTTAATTGAAAACGACCAACAACAGCGCCAATTAATATTCGAAATAGGCAGAAATATCAGTTTCGGATAGGACACATAAGAATGTAGATTAGTGTTGGTCTAATGTCCATTGGTCGTTGACCTGTTTATACACTTATTTGAGGGTTCATTATAATTTCAAGGTTAGCCTGACATTTTGCTGGTTTGTTTAGCTTCTGTGGACATATGCAATGTTATGATCAGCTTCCAAAATCTAGAAGAAATATTTCGTCGCAGTGAACCTATACATGTAAAAGAAAATAGTTTGGAAAAGCCATCAAGAAAAAAATATATAATCTTTCAATATAATTATACATATATTTACTTCATGTGTTGATTTAAAACTTTTTTTTTTTTAGATTTTTATTAGTGTAGGCGCTACACCCCCTGCCCCATCATGTTTTCCTTCCATAGACCTAAGGTATACAGATCATCTACTGGATGCTGCATCTGTAAGGCTAAGTCAAGCAGGTACGCCCACTCCAACAATCCATCTCACATTCTAACCCCAAAACAGTTCCAGATTCACCGACAGCAAAAAATACGAAGAAGACTTCATGAAGTGCTTCAAGCTCGCCGAGCCTAGGCAAGGCGAAATCTGTAACGCTTGCGTTCTTTTGGTTAAGCGCTGGAAAAAGCTTCCCGCAGGATCTGATCGCAACTGGAAACATGTAAGTACACACGAGTTGTTGCCAACCAACTGCTACATAACTAGTTACAAATACTATTTGAGATCTTGATAAGAAAAATTCCAGTTAAAGTTTACAATAGAAGCTAGATCGGTAATTATAGTTTTGAGCTACAATATCTAATTTAAGGTTAACTGTTCAAATGCGTACACCTTGTTTTAGGCGTAAAACAAAGTAAATAATTTGTATATTAAAAAAAAATTCTGTAAATCCGAGAAAAAATGTGCAACACCAAGCGAAATTCGAACTAGCGGTCCTCGGACAGATCCATTTAACTTCCAACTGTGGAGGGCTATTTATGTATGTGATTTCATGTTTATAATTATACCTATAGCGTCAAAAACAATAAACACACAACAATTTTATTTACGAGATATAAAATGGGCACAAAAAATCTTGCCCATCGGCTCGGCTTGGCAAATTCACTCGTATTCGCAACTGTCTCGTTTCTGGCCTTGTGATACAAGTAACTATTGTTTATTGCGATATAATTTTCTTCTGAGAGAAAAAACTTGGTAACTCTAAATTAGTGAATATTTTTATTTATTATTATTATTATTATTATCTTTTTAATCTTGTCAAATTGCGTACCGGAAGAGAAAATTTATGTGTTTGTCCTTAACAAAAATTTGATGACGTCATGTTAAAATTTTGCAAATTCCACTTGAAAGGTACAGAATAGCCATGCTTCTATATACATACATGTAGTTTATTATGTGTATATAACAATTTATATTATTGATTAAATTAAAAATGTCTGATCAAATATTCTCCGATTTCTGGGAACACATTACGACTGTAATTGGTGTTGTACTGACTGATGTTTCAAAATTTCACTCCCATCAGCAAATTTCATTAAGAAAATCTCACTTGAAATCAACAGCTGAGCTTTACCTTAGTAGTTCATCCCTTATTGTAACGAATTGGGATTATAAAAGCTTACTGAATCAAATTTTATAACTAGTTCATATAATAAGCCGGACTCGTTTGATTGGTTGTGTTTCAAGGGTAATAAGATAACCTGTGGAGCTAGAGCGCTCCACGAAAAAGAGTGCCATGATCTTCGTTGTGAGGCCTACTGTTTATGCAACAGCCTCTCATTTGTCATTAAAAAAAATCCAAAATGCTTTCACAAACGAAAATGCAATTATGGTATCCTAATCAGGTCGTGGATGCCAGAGCTGGGCCTGGAATGAAATCAATGTCGAAATTTAAAAGCAAGAGCAAGAAAATCGACGACGCCGGTGACAAGATGAAGAAGAAGAAACATTTCGAACGCGAATATAGTCCGACTTTGAGCGATAAGAGCGACGGCAACGAGGACGTCGATATGGCCGACGTCGATTTCTTGTGCGAGGAAGGTCCCAGCGGTGGGTCGAGCCGCACGACGAGTCCAAGAGACAGCGATTGCGAGGAGAACGTGATCAAGAATCGAAGGCACAAAGGACAGGCGAAGAAGCGAGACGGAAGTCTTCCAGAAGTTAGCGATTTCATCTGTTCGGATTACTGGAAAAAGTTAGTGGATTATTCTTAAAAATTGAGAGGGTTTTAATGTTGGCCGTTGTTACAGAGAAACCGTATGCTGCGGGACAATCTTCAAAGGTATGTGCGGTGAAGTAATTGTAGACTACAGGTTTTTGAAAGCTTGTTCTGCGCGCTTGGAGAAGTGCAAATTGCAAACGGCTGAAGTTAAGGTTGGAGCAGAAGCTGTCGAGAACAGCGCAACTAAAATGTTCAGTGATAGCAGTTCAGATTCAGGTTACGACGAGTCTTCAAATCAAGGCACAATAATAGGAGACAGTGCCTTCAAGAAAGAACAAATTAGTATAGAAGAAATAAACAGTCAGATTTTGAAAAACAATTAATGTATGCTCTCTTTAGATTGTTTTAATTTATTGATACGTGATCGTTGTGTTTGTAAAGATTTATGCCTTTCTTGCAGAGTTAATCAGTTTTGGTCCGTTTTTTATTGTTTTACCAGTTGATATTGAATAAATTATTATTGTTTAGTACTTAATTATTTCGAGTTGCGTATTTGTATTGCATGAATATTTGGATGCTACTTCTGTTGTGGTTTTTGTAGATATTCTGAAGAAACGCATAAATCGTTTTTCTCATGTTGACAGTACAAATTATTGAGAAATTGGTAATTTCCAATATTTTTAACCCGCTCAAGCAGTCACAGGTTGAAATATTTGAAGTTCTAGCTTTTTGCTGTCTGTGACGAAATCTTTTCGACGTGGATTTTCCAAATCAATCTGTTGATTGGGTCCAAAAGTCTGCAAACGACACCATTTTATTATTAACTCGATTCAATCAAAAGAGGATAAATCGATTGTTAATAAACACAGAAATAAAATTTCTATTTTTACAGATCTTTGATTGATCACACAGGCCGTTAACTTACTTTTTTTTTTTTTTTTCATTTCTTATGTGATATCTTTAGTTGACGATTTCTTACGCTAGGATTTTTAATGACTACTGCCTTCAATACATACGACTGACTAGATGTAATTCGAATTCTATTTCTGTGTTTACATGATTATATTTAACTATATGATATAATGTTATCTGAAGCAATACATATATAATTTAAAATCCGATCATATCGTAATTGTGGTGTCTTGAATTTACTGCCAAATACTAAAGTTATGACACACAAGTGTTCCTCTTCTAAACACAAACTATGCTAAGTATTTTAGAATAAATTTTATGTAGAACGGATGTATTTGTTTCAGGTATTTGATTTTTAGTAATGGCAGCATATTTTCAAGTTGAGTCTGTAGTAGACGCATCGTGATTTCATTCGCTCGCACACGTGGACGTTTTGTTTATTATGATGTAATTATATTTTAAAATTTATCGTTTTTTACAATTTAAAACATAATCGTAGTGGAATATAATTGAAAGAGTTTATACAACCTATTTATTATTTCGAAATGTTTTTTTTTTCTTAGTTTGTATAATAGAGGGTATAGTATGCTTTAAGAGTTGCCTATAGACTGCAAGCCTAGTCGTTTTTGTATGGTGTATAATTATTGCAATTATTAATTGAATCTCTTATTGAGTTTGTCACTTCCACGATTGGCATTAATTTTTGTTTAAAACAGAAAAGTACTATATTTAACTTATAAATAACTGCCATGAATTACAAAATGTTCTATATTTTTTTACATCACTGGAATTGTAAGAATATACTTGTTGTAAAAAAGTGTAGATTATAAATAATCAAAGTGGATCTCAGTTGTTTGTAAAATGTATACATTCTTTAGTTCACGAGTTATGATAAAAGTATTATATGTATATTCGTAATCCTAAGACATTTGAATACTATATGATACAGTTTGTTCATTTTGAATTTGCATAATATGTATATTTGGCTAGCTTGTTTTTATTTATATGAATTTTAAATTGTTGTAATTTATTTAATAATGCGACAACGCAGTTGCGAAGAAAAGTAATGGAATGAGGGTAAATGTAGACTATTTTTGATAGAGATCTGAACATCAAAGATTTTGAAGAAATTTTAGGATACATCTCCAGCTAGCCATTGCTGAGTTTCTAGAACCTTCACATAAAATATTCTAAATTTATCATTTTATAAAAAAAAAGAAAAATAAAAACCAATAAATTGTTGTTAGTCAAGCCAAATTGTTACTAATGCAATAATATTAACAGCAATTGTTATATGAATATCACGGATGTTAAGGTTGAAGCTGTAATAAAATATTTTATAAATGAGTGTATGAAACGAAGTTTCAAGGCTTCTGAAGCCGTCTTTTAGCTAAGGACCTAAATAATCTGATTGGTATTACTAGAATTGATTCATTATTAGATTTGTAGAACATTTGTTTTGTCCGTGGTTATTTGTGAATTTTATTGTAATTAAATGTTTCCAGTTCAATGCAATATGTGAAAAGATTAATTCTGTATTGTGTATTTATCAATAAACTTTAAATATATTTCTAACATACTCATTCTTTTTTTATTTCGCAATCCAGTCGTGTATATGGAGTGTTGTAAAATTTTGTATGCAGTCTGTTAAGCAATTATACATAGAACATGTTTTAATAATTTTTTAAAACTGAAATAATACGCCAAGAAATTTATAAACAGAAATAAAAAATTAAAGAAACAAAAGTTATACCCTCTGGATATGGATTTTTATAACGAAAGTACCTGTTTTTATACAGACAATTTAGAAAGTCCCCCGACTTCTTTTAAGAATACAGATTTGTGTTTTTAGACATTTAACATTTTTTTAGTAAAGGGCTTTTTTTTATTTTACTAATTATTTATTATTATTAGCTTCTGAAAAATTCAGCTATATTTTGAGGTGAAGTTCTGAAGTCGAAACGCCGAAACCGTGTTTATGGTGGTGTTTAGCAGACGAACTGTTGACGAGTTGACACTGTTGACAGATAAATAACCTACAAAGTTTTAAAGTATCAGAAATAGAAAATAAATAGATAGTTTTAATTGCTGTGAAGCTGTAAAAAATTAATGTATAATGAAAATGTCGGAGAACGACAAGGAAAACGTGTTGTCCAAGCGGCTAAACAAAATTTTGGAAATAAGGCTTGAAAACGATCAGGTAATCCTACTAGTTCTAAATTAAATATACTTTGCCTTTTTTGTATTTAAGGATACACTAGAAGCCTTAAAACAGCTTTCAACTTTTTACACAGAAAATACTTTACAAGCCCGTCGCAATTTACGCAGTCAGATTGAAAAGCGCAGTCTTGACATTAACGAAAATTTTCTGGCCTCGTTTCGAGATGTAAAAGTATGTTTTGACGCTGTTTACACAGACGTTTTCGAAATGAGTAAGTCTATCCAAGAAATGACCAGTAGGTTACACAATGCCAAAATGCAAACTAAGCAACTGTTAGAGCAAACAAAGGCACTTCAGGAAAATAAGTAAGGATATCTAAAGCTGTTGTTCACTTAATGAATGTGATTAAATTTAGCGAAAAAAATGAAATGCATCAAAAAGTAGCTACAGCGTTTTTGGAAACTTTTCAACCAAGTCCTCAAGAACTTGCAGCTCTTCATGGCAGTAAGCAGAAGCGGAATGCTTCTTTGACAAACGAGATATTCGGTGCGTTAGATCGCGTTCAGAAGATTCATTCTGACTGTAAAATATTAATGCAATCCGGGTACCAAACTTTGGCTTTAGATATAATGGAGCAGATGACCTTACATCAGGTATAAAATAAATTACCTTTTTCTTATCAGTAAGCAGGCATTTTAGGAAGGTGCTCTAGAGAGATTATACAGATGGACCCAACATCATTGCAGAAACGTGGATAATCCAGATATGACAGATATAATTACTCAGGCAATGGCTAGACTGCAAGAGCGGCAAGTTTTATTTAGGTAGGTATTTTTTTGTTGTTGTTGTTTTATTAAACTTTTTAAATTGTTTTGATTACCTGCTAGATTTCTAACAGTTATTAAAACAATAATTTAAGAATGGAAAAATATATTGTTTTACATACAATTTAGATTCTAACTTGTACGATATTTGAATTTTCAGGTATATTATTGATGAATATTGTACAGCCCGGAGATCAGTATTGGTGGGCGAGTTCATTAACGCTCTAACTCGAGGAGGACCATCAGGTAATCCTGCACCAATTGAGCTAAGAGCACATGATCCACAGATCTACATAACAGACATGCTGGTGTGGCTAAACAAGGCTATTCCTATTGAAAAACAAAATCTTCATCTGCTTGTGAAGTTGTGTGACCAAAGCGGTATTCTTTTCCTCTAACATCGCGAAATTAAAACTAACAAGTTCCACTTCAGGTCTGAGTCAGATACTAAATGAAGCATTATCCTCGATATGTGAAGGCATTTGCCAACCATTAAAAATTCGCATCGAGAAGATATTAAATGTTCCAACACAAGCTTCTGTGCTCTACGCCGTTACAAATCTGATCCGTTATTACAAGAAATGTATCTATAAAGTGACGGGACCTAGCGTGCTCGAAACAAATTTAGTAGAGTTGCAAGAACGTAGTGAACAAACCTTCTTGTCATCTCTCCAACAGCAAGTTAACAATACGCTAGTTAGAGTAGAAGCGCCGCCCAGAGATCTTTCGCCGACGTCTGCTGTTAATAACTTGTTGGCTATACTCAGAGATATGTTATCTACAGCGAGTATGAGCGAAGGGCGAGAAAACGACATGGGAAAGGTATCAAGATTTGAAATTTATAAGCGGCCCCTGTTACGTGAAGGCGCCATTCATTTCTGTTTCTTGATCATTTCCTTTCAGATCTTGAAAAAGTTAAAAAAAAACAACGGTTTTGACCAATAGATTATACTCTTTAACTAAAATTTTTACCACCTTTTTTTTTGTCATTTTTATAGATTGCTCACTGCATCATGGAGCCACTTTTACGGGCAGTCAATGAACAAGCGTCACGTCTCCCTCCAACAGACATGGCCGTGTACATGTTAAATTGCATGTATTCTATGTACACTTGCTTGTCGCTGTATGAATTTATGGACGAAAGATTGGAGAGACTACAAGCGCAGTCTGATGCCCAAATTGATACGTTGACGTCTGAGCAAGCTAGTTCTTTGGTAGCAAACCTTAGCCTAGGACCAATCTACACAATTTTGCAGGACCAAACGCAAGGACCACTGTCCGGCATTCCAGGAATGGAACCAACAAACTTGAAGAATTTTTTGGTATGTTGTTTTATTATTAATATTTTTGCGTTGTTACTATTGATTTTTAGGCCAAACTGGATTATTTGTTAGCGTCGCCAGATAGTTTGCTTTTACCCCAAATCAATTTACTGTCGTCATCGAAACACAAGAAAACAGTCCAGAAGAGAGCGTTTGATGTACTGTTGGCCATCTACAAACAGCTGTATGAAGGCGTCCATAATCCTGCAAATTTATATGAGAATCCTGATAGTATTTTAAACAAAACTCCATCAGAATTTATGAAAATAATAAATTAAAAAAAAACAGATTATGTACGTTAAATAAATCACTGTTATGAATGATGATTTATTAACTGCTCCATCGTGTAAATTACGTACTTCAGACTCTCCACCTTTTTTGATTTCCGTATTCGTTTTAACTTCCTTTTTATGGTCTACACCAAGAAAATAGAGATCAGTAATTTTGACGTATTTTCATATTACAATACTTTTCTAAGCTATAATTTGGGAAAATAAAAAGGCAACTGTAAGTTCTCAAATAAATTTTGAGAAAAAAATATGGAATCACTGAAGCTAAATACTTTGCAATACACACATAATATATATTCCATTCGCAAAATTAAATTTAAAACGTCAACCAAAAGTCAAAAAAGCTTAAATTCTAAATCTTGGATTGTTCCGACTTCTGTTCCGCGTTTTTCTCTAGATTTTTATTCTCTTATCTCGTGCTTTCGTCGGATCCACTTGTTGTTTTCCACCTTGCAGTCTGTAATATATTTTCCAAAAATTCGCAATATCTAACCCGCCCACTCGCATGTATGTACTTAAGTAACGTTTGTTGACCACATCGGCTCTTGACGATCCGATCCGAGCACCTGTTGTATCCAATCTCGGACGCACAGACGAATCACGAACTCGTATCATCACTTCGTGTTATCCAATCCAACTCAGCCAATGAGAACAAAACGTTTCAGTCGTGTCGCGCCGGCAAAACAGTGTGTGTGCGTATGCGTCGTAATGTGATATGTATAAAAATCCTCGCCAAATATTTGCATAATTAACGTAAAATATTTTTGATAGCCTTCCGGAAGGCCTTTTTCGCATGTGCAACTACTATAAACACCATGGATGTCGTTTCATGCCGTTAGAACAACAACAACTCGCCCGAATTCCACATTTGAGTGATGTTAATTGGGATCCAAGATGGCCGACTCGTATTACCAGGTGAGAAACAATTATGTATTTTTGTTGTTATCTACTTGTTAATGGAGACTATTAAAGTTCGGTTTTCGAATACAATCTAATAAAACTCTAATTGTTAAGCGTGCGAATGAATCCGGCGTCGATTCTGCGAGTTATTTGCGGTGAACGTGTTAATTAATAGGTTATAATCGGAGGGGTAAACAAATTGGCCTTAATTACTATAAAGGTCCGTTTTGGTGCACTCGTTATCGTTTTTACCGGTACCAGTTTTATTTATACCGCAGGTTTAATTTGAGCTGCGAGCGAATTTGTTTGTAGTTAGTTATCCCTGCTCTCAAGGTTAATATCTTTTTAATAAATAATCGACGTTAAAAGTGAGTGAGTGCTCATAGTACAAGTTCGATAACTTCTCGATAATGTTGGTTATTTAGTGAGGTGTAGAAGAAATGTCTCTTAATTCTGTTACCCAAACTCGAGAAATTACGATGATGTGATCTGTGACTACTGACTTGTACTTGGGTTCCAAAAGGACATAACTACATATATCATTGGAAAACAATTTGTGTCCTCCAACGTAAAATTTGTTTGAAGGACTGATAAATGTATAAATCGAGTTCCAACTTAAGTTCAACCGCATCTAGTCGTTGTAAACATATTTTTAACCAGACTGTGTAGTAGTAAATCAGAATCAGGTTTGCCTAAGATGAATTTAGCCACTGATTGCACATTCATCAATATCTTGGTAGCTATACAGAGTGTAGCATCCACAACAAACGTTTGAGGCTCATGAAACTGCTAAAGATAAAAACATGTTTAATAGAGAGATTTAGTAGATATTTAAGTAAACACAAAAAATACCAGTTTCAGTGTGAAGTACGTATATGTGTGCCATAAATGCATTGCATTAACTTTGTCAGATTTTGTACTCTTGATTCATTATCAAAATCAAAGTACTTTTTCTTGTCTGGCTTCTGATCATTTTGACGGTCTGACAGTTTTGTGTAACACGTGTAACAAGCACAGGAATTAGGGGTATCGATATCACCGAATTTAGATTAGTAATTGCCGCCCAATCATGTTATTACCTAATCTATCGTAAGTTGATTAACGCGATTGTATCAAAATAAACGTGTACGGGACAGTGTCAATGTTTTTTAAATTTTAGGTACTGCTGTATTTAAAAAAGCTCAGCTTTTCTCGATGAACTATAATTTTCAATACCGAATTTATGCTAATAATTTGGACGAAGCTCCAGTTTCGAAAATGCTTTGATTTAAAAACGTCATCCGCGCTGTGTAATAACGATGAATATGTGGCGTTGGTAAAAGTAAACAGAAATATACGTACACATACATTTTTTAAAGGTCCACTCATGAATTGGCGCCGCCTCAATCCAAAATTATATCATTTTGGGTAATGTAATTCATTGAATAATAATAAAATTACTAATACGAATTGACGCGTTTTTGTGTTGTATTCAAAGAAAAGAATTGGTGTATTTTTACGCAGTGACTTAAAATGGTGACAGAAAATATTTTATTTGTGGTGTTATTGAGTAATAAGATTACAGCTCATTGAAATAGGGAAACCTATGTGGAGTTAGAGTAGTGTAAATTTCAAAGAAATCGTGCTATCATTAATTACATGGCCTAAATGGCTAAACGTGTTATCTAAAGTGCGTATTTGTGACGCGCAAGATAACAATCTTAGATTTTTGCGTATTTTTCACTTATTGCATAGTGAATTTTTTGTGTAGATGACACATTGTACAGGTATTTAATCAGAAATGTATGACCTAATATTTACTTGGATCTATCAGCAGCTGTCACACTAAAAATTTCAAGCAGTATTCATTTTAGCAAAATTTTGAAATGACGTTATTAATTTTTTGGAAGGAATGAAATTAGAAACATGCCAACACTTAATCAAAAGTGTAATTGACAAATTTGTTTTAACCAATGTTCGTCGAATGGATTTCTTTTTGAAATAACTGTAAGTAAAGAAAATATTTAATGTATATGTACTAGTTTTCTAATTGTATTTAATCGTTTTGAACGTTGGTTTACTTTCAACTACCTATACATAAAAGTGGAACCTCCGAATTTTTAACCCACGAGCCGCCACTGCATTTTAGTCTTGAACTCGCATGAATAGATGTCTGTGTGTAACGTGTAACATCACACTGGGTTAGGCATTCCAGGAAATTCGTAGCGGAGTCTTAACTGGATGCAGACGCTTCAGACGAAAAAGAAGCAAACGTGAATTACCTTCCACTGTATTAACCGAACATTGTTGTCGATATGTTCGATTGCACAATGAGGCTAATCAAAATTCAATGCAAATTAATCGGGAAAATCGCTCTTACGTTACTCTTATGACATAAGATTGTAAAAATTCTTTTGACTTTGACAACTGACTAACTGTGTACTTGTTGGCTGACTTTGTTGCGTTGCGTCGAAAAATAATGGGGGCATGCAAAAGATCCGTCTCGAAGGGGCCAGCTAGCTCTACGACAACCGTCTGCGCTTGTTGGATATCGAGTCGAAATCGAACTCCTTTTACCGCAGTCCGCTCCGAACATCGTTAGGTACGTGGTAGTGTACGATGTGTACTCAAAACGGATGAATTCCAGTTGTCTGCAATAATGTAAATTGCAAAGAGTGTTCGTAGTGACTGTGATGTTTGCGAAATGGTTGCCTTTCTTTCAACAGGTCTAAATTGTTCTTTGTAGTATTGGATTTAATTTTTTTTTTCTTTCTGCGAGAAAGTGTGAGTGATTCAAGTTGACGCTTTTGTCTTAAATTCGTCAGGAAGTGTAAAGTCCATGCTTTGTAATGGAAATGTTTATTTAATCTTATCTGAAGCTTGTCGCCTGATAGTGTTTTTAACGGTGGTTACTTACGTTTGAAAAATAACGAAACGTAATTAAATGAATAATATCGGCGAAAACCTGAATCATAGCATGTATACAACTTTTTTTGGTTTGCTGCATGACCATAATAGATGTACTGTGTTTCGGTTTAATGCGAAAACAACATAGCAAGCATATCAGCCAATTGCTCGACATAATTTATTCGGTATTCAAAAATCTAGCTGTTTTCTAAATGTTAATGGAAAAAATTCAAAATGTACAATAATGTGAAGCGACCGTAATCATAAAATTTCATGTAATGATTCGAGCGTCCGTCAAGAATCGCGGTCGTCGTCTGGTGTCCACGAACTCTATGCTCTTACACCTGTACACCTTCACATGATCTGGAAAATCTCGATTGACTTGGCGCCGACCGGCCGATTCATCATCTTTTTTTTTTACTTCACTGTGAGCCACCATCTATGTCGATTAAATTCTACAGGTTTTGACCAGAAGAGACGTTTCGGGTATTTGTTGCATATTAGTACAAGATTTGTTTCAATTTTGTCATGAAAGTCAACCATTTTGCGTCCTTTGTTCGAACATTGTGGTAATTACGGATGGTACGAGCGAACTTTCTAAAATATTGCATTATGTGAATTGATATAATCGTTACTTGTAACGATGAAGAATAATCGCGAAAAAGAAAGTGGAAAAATTCACGAATAAAGTGGCAACCGTCATGCTCGTTCTTAAAAAAAGTGGATTACAATCTGTTTCTCATCATCACCATCACCATGGACACGTTGAGTCGCTGTGCGCAATTGATAGTTGTTTAAGGCAGAGTTTGGTATGTGCAAATTTATGGTAGAATATGATAAAAAAACTTTAATTCTTCAATGTCAGACACAACAGTTCCAGAAGTATGTTAATCTCGTACAATACACAATATACACACACACAAATACAGACAAATCGCATTTAATTACATTTTAATGGAAGGCTTTTTGTTGTTAAAACTTGTTTGTCGTTTTTTTCTTTCGATAAGACGTAATGTACTTTTAACCCAAATTAAAAAAAATACTGCTTAGAATATGTAGGTACTTTTAGTATTATTTATTTTTACCAATCGTATCAATACCTCTGTAGTACCGAGACGTAATGCACTTACGTTTACATTTAAAAAACACCTTACACACAAAGTAGTGCAAAAGCAATGAAAAACTTTAAAGCCAACCAAGTTTAATTGTTGTCTTAATAGTAACTAAATAAAGTAAAATAGTTACAAATTCTTTGTTGGTAGAATGAAAATTAATTAAATCGGTTATATTAAAACCATCTGCATCACACATGCTAAGGTTTCATTCAATTTTATTCAAGACAACTGCCTCGATGATTTCCTGTATGTACACGACTACCTGTAATTTTGATATCCTGTGTCATTGTTGACATAGAAATAGCTGTTTGTTAGTGTTCATTTAGATGTAATATTGAATAAAAATTATTTATTTGTGTTATCGGGATATCTTTACATTAATATCTACTAACTTACGTCAGTTTTATACGATTGGGCTGGTGATTGCGTCATTGTGTTAAGAATTGTAACAATGTATGTTTCTCCCGTGTGAAAGTCCTTTAGCATCATTATTTATTCATGGCATTCATAAAACACAGAATCAGTTAATTGAAAAAAATGTTCTATCACGAAGGGCGAAAATACACTTTCGCTTTACGTTCTTTATATTTTTACTACCCGAGCGCAAGCTAAGGAAGTGGAGTAATCAAGTATCTTATTTATGAAATAAGAATTTTAATTGAAGACAGAAAAATGGGATAAATCAAAAATCGAAAATTTCCGGAAAAGTAATTCCAAAACGAGTGTATCCTGACACAGTATAGAAGGTTGGTGTTTAAATAAAGAAAAGAAAAACGATTGTTAAAGAAGCAGTAGATGAAGTACATATGTATTCAGTTACCAATTTTTGTATACGTGAAAAAATTGGATCACGAAGAATACCGAAATTTTAAAAAGCTTATATCTAGATGTCATTCTAAAAATAGAGGTAAAAGCGAGGCTGTATTGTTGACACGCAGCAAAGACCTCTTGCCCCTGACCAGCAATTCGAGCCGTCAGTCGTTTCGTCGACCGGTGAAAAAACCCGGCGAACTTTTTGGATATATGTAGTTTAATGAAATGTTTAAAATACTAGATTGTGAACAAAATCAAACACTAAATTTAACGATTTATAAACAATAATATACAAATTAAAATATGATTGGGAAAAAAATTTTAAAAAAACGTTATTCTTTTCCCCAAAATTGTTTGAACACACGTACATAAGGTGAACAGTACATAAAAAATAAAATAATAAAATGCTTACAAAATCAAAACCATAAAACAACATTTTGCAATTTAATTTTGAATCATATGTAACCGAATGCTTTGAAATATTGCAAATGTTTTAAAGTTATGATAAGCATAATAAATTTTTAAACAAAATATATTTGCTTATTCCCCCCCAAAAATCAAAATTTTGCCGAATAAATCCTAACTAAAATGTGCAATATATGATGAGTTTTTACTTGTGATTTATCATTCCGTTCATATTTTTTGGATTTGCGTGTACAGGTGACCCAAAAAATTAAGGAATGCGTGAATTTATTTTATTGATTTAAGCAGGAACTGCAAAACCGAATGCTTTCAAATCTAGGAGATGTTTTAAAGTCATCATGAGCATGGTAAATTTTTGATCAAAATGTATTTGCGCATACCTCCTAAAAAATTGATGACGTCACTTGAAAATATTGCTGAATAAATCCTATCTTAAATGTGCAAAAACTGATGAGTCTATGCTTGTGATTTATCACTGCGTTAATATTTTTTAGATTTGCTTACACAGGGGGTCTCAAAAAATTAATAACTGAGTCAATTTATTTTATTGATTAAATCAAGAATTTCAAAAATGAATACATTGAAATCTTGCAGACGTTTTGAAGGTGTTGTAAGATGATAACTTTTTAATCAAAAAATGTCTGTTTATCAACCCCAAAAAATTGATGACATCATTTCAGAATTTTACCGAATAAATCCTATCTAAAGTGTGCAAAATGTGATCAGTCTATACTTATCATTGCATTCATACTTTTTAGATTTGCAACTTATAAAGGTTGTCATAAAAAAATTAAATTCGTAAAATCAAATGATTTTCGAAAAAGTGGACTTGTACTCAGGGGGAAGGATGTATTGTCGAAATAACTTTCGACCAATTTTTTAGATTTGCTTAAACAGGCGGCTCAAAAAAATTCATCACAAAATTGTGTAAAGAAAAATACAACTCGAAAATGCTGGATATGTTTCATTGTACTTTCGGTGCGAGGGACGTCCTGTCGAAACAACTTACGGCTAATTTTTGATTTACCGCATTTTATGCATATGTTGTTGATCATATTCTATTCTATTTTACATGACAGATTTAAACCCATTTTGGAAAATAAAAAGGATACCGTGTGTTTAGAGAATCATTAGTTTCTATTTAGGTGTAGACATATTCATGTAAAAGATATTCATAAAGCGAGGCGCCTAAATAACTATCTATAGATAACTACGTACATAATAAGCATCCGACTTTGGTGGAACTAAATGTTATCTACAACAATACCTGTCTTTTGTTCAGTTTTGCATAATAAGTACGAGTGTTTCGACAAAGACAAAAGGACGGTAATTAATGTTGCTTACTTTGTAGTATCTCATGAAGATTGCTGTGACAGTGATTTGTTTTTACTTCTCGAGCGTAGGCGAAGGAAGTATTGCAATCGAGTCCATCGGCCGACTCTCTACTTTTGCGTTTTCTCGACCTTTCATGACCCCTAGAGTACGAAGAAATAGGTTTCCCGTTTCCGTCTGTCTGTCTACTGTACTTCATTGGCGAGGGAATAATAATGAGAGGGAGGAAAAAATAGATAATACATTTTTTTGAGTTAACTTATTAACTAAAAAAAAAAATATATATTTTATTATTATATGTATCTTATTTGTCGTATGTATGAAATAAGAATTTTAATTAAAGACAGAAAAATATGTTAAAATTTGGACCCCAGAGCGGGTATTAATGTGGAAACAAAAGCTTACGCTTACGTTTGCAAGGATGTGTGCCATTAATATATTTATTTTAAAAGTGGAGGAAACGTCTACGGCTTCTAAATAAATAATGAAAATGAAAACCCGTTTTTCTTTAAATATAGTCATCGAATTGCGCGTTTTATTATCGAGTATTCTTCATATTGTAATTTTACATTTTTTGCATAAAAATCGGTACTTCGTAACAGCACAAAACTTTGAAAGCAGAAAAAAAAACTCATTAACTTTTATGAATTCGAAACTGAAAATTTGTGTGACCCTGAAAGATAATAATTTATACTGATGGACGTTTAATAGTCATTTAATTGTGTATTTGATCGTGATTTGCATCAAAAGCTCGACAGTCACTTGATAAATAAATGTATTTTAAATGAATTATTATAAACATTGTTGTGGTTTTGCGTCGATTTAACGGTGAGTCTACACTGTTTTACAATTGGAAAACACCTGAGATCATTTCAAGTTACTTCGGTAAACAACAAAAACCATTTCGAACATTCAGAGCGTAATTTATTTTCAAGCAGGAACGTTTGGAACAACAATGAAGCAAATTGTTTACATTGATTGTGTACTGTTTTTATCTTTATAACATCGTTATCTTTTATCACGTAACAACAAATTCACTTATTTCATATGGTGATTTCAGAAGGTTAGTGGTGGAAATTTCGTGTTGAATTTAGTTAAAAATACTTTAAATTAAAAACAATGTGGCTTTGGGAAAAAGTTTGTGGACATGATACATACTTCGATACATTTTTTTGTGGACATGATACTTACTTCGATGTTGGTATCGTTTTAATTCATTAATATATTTTTTTCTTAGAGAAAATATGATAAAATAAGCTTACGCATGACTTATACACAATAAGTAGGTCACAGAAAAGTTGCAAAATATGGGAAGCCCACTGTTTTTGGCAAAACAAAACGCGAAATAAAACTTGTATCGATCATATAGATAACTCTCAACGAGCATATTTTCATCAACTAAAATTGATTCGTTCGTAAATAACTTTTATGTAACATTTGATTACGAGTAACTAGAAGTTTTCACATTAATTTTTTCGGAGGCATCAAACAGGGCCAAACATGATGTGAAACGAGCCCGTGACAGATCGTTCAGTTGTTTCCATCGGCAAAGAAAATGTTACACTTATTTTTTACGTCTTCGCATTATTTTTAGTTTCAACAAATCTTGTCGATGCCTACGTAGTCCGCCCACCACAAAATTCTTGTATACATTTTAAGGTAATCCAAGCAGAATATTCCCGTATTCGTAGGCAAGTGAATTGGTCTCATCGGGGCACTTAGTCTGCGTTCTCCGTACAAAAATGCATAATTTTTTGTAATTATCGTGTACGTATAATACATATTTTTCATGACCCGTGTTGTAAATAAATGTAAATACAATTATTGCGTGAACTGAACAAAAGCAGCTCATCTGCTGTTATGCGAACGTTACAATTTGAATCGAAACAATAACATACGAAAGTGGGTTGTGCCCAAAATTGTCGGCTTTCTCAACTGCTCTTTAAAAATGTCTAAAGACGTAACGACTTATTGTCTACAACGAAACAATGAACTAGACTGCGAGAAATGATCTCCATTGATGATTATTGCTCTTGAGTCGTGTGGGATGGAAAAAAAAGTTCGATTTTCTTCAATCTTTGCGTTTGTTTGCAGGGCGACTACATAAGACATCCCGTTCTGTATGAACTGTCTCACAAATATGGCCTACCGACCGATAACATCTCGGATTCGCAGCTCTCTGGTAAACTCGAGGAGCTGAAAGAGATCATCAGACGAGAGATTCGGAAAGAACTGAAGATAAAAGAAGGTGCTGAAAAATTGCGAGGCGTTTCCACCGACCGAAGGTCTCTCAGCCACGTCGCCACAATTGTAAAGAACTCAAACTGGAAACTTGCCGAATTGAAAAATGAACTTAGCGAATTGGAATCACAGATTATACTCTCTCAGGGACAGACCACGCCATCTACACCGTCATCCAACGGGGGTAAGCAGTGTATTTGCCACGGAGCTACGAAATCGCCTCTCACTAAAATGCCAACGTAAACAAACAAATCAATGTAATTGTGTGGCTTCCAGGGGACGAAAACAGGAAGTGTCTTTAAACGGGCGCAAATTACAAATGGCGCGTAACGTTGTTGATAAAAGCCCCAAAGTGGTGTGATTTCGTTCATCCAATTGTTCTTCTTGTTTGCTAAATGTTGCTATAAGAACCAACTTCTTGTATAGTATAACTATTCTGACGTAACTATTGTGGCATGCATCTGTGGTCTCGTGATTTTTCTTCGACGTACAGGTGCACTGGACGACAAAAACTCTGGTCCGCGTTGCATTAACGGGGTATCCACTGAAGCTTACGGATAATCGTCATTATCGCATCTATGTATAACTCGTGTTGCGGCAGTACTTACGCTCTGATACAGTCTTTTGCTTTCGCGTGCGTCTCGTACGACCTCTGCCCACTCGTCTCGACGGATTGGAACGTGATCAGGCCCTTGTTTCTTTTCCGCGGTTTAGTTGGTAACCAACCTCCCAAGGTCACTGCACCAGGAGCTCGAAACTCCGCGAAGTAACGGTCCATCTATCATTCCTCAGATGCTTGTGCCCGTTTTTCGCGGTCACGGGATCCTCCATCCATGCCGAAAACTCGCTGTCCTGGATTTCGAGAAGACGTCGGCCAGTGGTATATCTACGGTTGAACGTTTTGCCAAAGCGTTCTTGTTTTGCGCTGTTTTTTTTTTTTGCTGTTCTGCTGGGCAATGCATACATTTTTGACCGCAATAATTTGCTCAAGGCGAAAATTCCGAACCAGTCAAGAGCAATGAACTTGTGGATCTAATCGATTACGCGGCCTTTGACAATGACTCTTTCACTCATTTGCACACTTAAGGTTATCAGAGGATTGAGACGGAACCTTTCATATTCGTGCGACAAGTAGAGTAGTACAATATCGGACGGGTGATTCGGATGGCACACATGTTATCGAGTCGTTGTGAATGAACGAATTTATGTATTTTCGTTGTTGTCGAGAAGCTGTTGGTGGCACATTTTCACTTCGGATGTGTTGTAGGTTCACTCAGCACTGCACATTCTCTTATACTTTTTATTTACCGAACGTAAGCTAAAGTGTGTATTGTAATAGGGTCGGTCCGATGATTGGTTACTTTCATGTTTTCTAGACGTTTCGTGACCGGTAGAGTGCAAAAAGTATCTGTCGATTCTTATTGGACAGATAATCTCCGAATCTACCGGATCGATTGTTATCAAATTTTATGTAAATGTTAGGAATGTCGTGTACATCGATAATAATGAAACTTTTCTCCCTTTCGCCAAATTGATGACGTCGCCAAATTTGGCCCCATACATCCCATCTAATAAATGCAAAACATTACGAGTCTGCACTTGTGGTTCATCAATGCATTCGTATTCGTTTTTACTTTATGGAGGTCATTACAAAATAAAAATCGGAGAATAAAATTCTATAATTTTGCAAAGACGCGTAATTTGTTGGACTGTACTTCCGGGGCGAGGGAAGTTCTGTGATAATAAGCTTCGACCATTTTTTTATAAAATGCGTTCCACAGCGTCAACCTACATTGTGTTGCGCACGTGCTCGTAAGATTGCCGAAGTGTCCTTCTCTGTACAATTATATTCTTCTGTTTTATGTTCTCATGAAGTCGTGGTGTTAATAATGAGAATCGACCTGTCACATTCTCGCGATTCAATTTTTCTCGTAGACATGTATTGTTGTAGTTATCTTGATTGAAACAGGTTGCAGTTACAACCACCTTGTGCGCACAATTGATGGTTACCGTCAAATTCGTCATTTAAAAGTACGGGCATGTTAACTAGGTTGCCTGGAAATGTGTTATGTATTCAAAAAACACGTATCTTTCATCTAAAAATGTCAATAAAGCCAAAATAGCGTACAAAAAAAAAAAAAAGCGAAAAAGGCTTAAAAAATCATTTTATACTATGCTTGAATATATGTATTATCAATATATTTTATAGGCTCTAAATTATACTTATCACGAATAGGCAATGTCTGATACAAAAATACATGTAAAGTCACGATATTTTTAACATATATTCCTCATAACAAAAATAACCGATTTCACGCTATTGACATATCGTAGTATATTAAAGGTCCACAAATGTTGAACATTTTTGAGCAGGCAATTAAAGATTTTATGTGCCTAGAGTGGTACAGTGTGCGACAATAGCAGCAAAAGTGTTTGATAACATCTACAATTTTTTCTTCAAAACAGGTTCCCACGCTTCTGCATTCACCTTAAGAAATTTCGAGACATTTCTTCATTGATTCGATTACAACAGTTTGCAATCTCAGCCATTAAATTTCGTTATTTAAAATTAACCAAAAGCCAAGTCAGGTCAAGTCAGCGGGGGAGCCGTAAAGTAAATTAAAAACGTTCATTTATATGTACTTACAAAATGTTGTGTTCAAGTCTGTAACAAAACAGGAACCAAACTTGACACAATGCGTCAATCGAACTGTTTAAAAATAAAGGACACTAGTAAATAGGTAGACAGTTCAAATAAGGCGCTTTAGAAAAACATCGAAAAATGAGTAAAATTCACTTTTAACGATGAGTCTTCTTTCTTACAGATAGTATACCACGATCCTCCCTAGAAGGCCATAACAATGAAAAAGTCAACTTCAATCAGTATACGAAAATAGAGAATTTAGAAAGACAGTTAAATATCGAACTGAAAGTGAAACAAGGTGCGGAAAACATGATCCACAGCATAACGGGGAAAGATAAGAAACTTTTATCCGAGGCTCAACAGATGTTGCAAGATTCTCGAAAAAAGATAGAATACCTTAAAATGAAAATAACGAAGGTACGTTGCCAGTCGAGGGCAAGTTGGAGGTTTTTTTTTTGTTCATTTGTTTATTTATCTTTTAGTTGAAACATGACATTAATTCTAAGCATCGCGGATCCATGCACGACCTTACATCAAACGGTGAAGTCAATCACGGCGATTTCGAGCCGCCCTTAGAAGAACGCATCGACGACTTGAAACATCGATTGCGAGTCGAAGCTGCGGTGGTGGAAGGTGCCAAAAACGTAATAAAACTGCTGCAGAACGGAAGTAAAGACAAGAGCGATAAGAGGGCGCTCTCGGAGGTAAGATTTGTAGAGTTCTAATTGCGTGCGTTTCGAAATCTGCGCGACTTGCTAACTATTCGAAATGTTTACATAATTTGTCTTGTGGGAAGTACTATTTTTGCGAGCGGGTGCGTATTAATATTTTGGACGGCTTGTTCGACAGTAATTTATTTGAAGAAGTAAAAACAACGAGAAATCGGTCCGTTCTTCGAATGCGTCCGAATCGAGCATGCAGATTCGACAAAATCACAAGATCGGAAACCATGATGTAAATCGTGCCACGTAGAAATAGTCCTGCTTGCGTTGCCAAGATCCAACCGTCGTCGAGTTCAGTTTACGTTCCTGCATATCGCCGGGTGCACGGACCGGGGCCTTCCGAACCGAAACCGAAATCTGGATGCCAAGAATAAGCTTGTTTACAATCGAACAGTGAATCGTAGAGTGCATTCCCCGAATCTCGGGCAGTTCCAGATAATCCTCGGCGATAATAATAAGTGTGCAACCGTCGAACGCTTGCCAAGGGCAATTGCGCCTCATCTCGAACGCATCCTGCAACGTACATACAGGTGAACAGTTGAAAGCGTAGCCATCGACAGCGACAGCTAAATATACCCGCATTTGTGACGTAACGGACATTTCGAGTAGTGCGTGAGCATGAGTGGTCATGTACGGTAAAGCGGACCCGCAGCAGCAATGGTCGGTCCATGCGGAGTTCACCATCTCTCATCCACGGGTGGACTCGGACAAAGCACCTCAGACTCACACCGAACAAGGCGATAATGGCGTACGGATGACGTACACTTGGACTTCGCAAGCCAATCAGAATTGGAGTTCGCGAAGGACGCCTCCGCCTTCTGGGTCGACGTCCACGCACAGCGACGCAACCCCGAAGTCTTACGGCTTCCAGAAGGGGAACCTCCTATTCACTTCAACGCCTCCGAGACGTCCGTACAACCTCCCCGAATCCAATACGAACACGAACAGGCTGGGCGTCCAAGACTCCGGCTACGGTAGCGACCTTTTGTCTCCAAACTCTTACGGGAATTACCCGCCGAGAAGACCCATCCAGCAGTACAATCGCAAATGCCGCAGCACCTGTAACATCGTCCTCTCAACGAATGTCCAGGACGAAAATAGAACGGAAGATGCGGCAGAATCTATTCATACGCAATGCGGAAGAACCCAGAGTTTGCGATGCCAAACACCCACCTTGCGCTGCGATCGCAAAGATAACTACTACGGCTGCGGAGATCCCTGGTGCCATCACATACACTACGGAGATGATTTCGCGTGTTCGGGACGGTTCTCTCCGGTCATGGAGACCTGCGAGGATTGTCCTAGTGGGCACACGTCGACGGAGACTTTCAGTACGGTGAGGTGCGAGCACGGAAGGAGCTCTCTGCCGAGGGAGAACGAGAATCGAAAGGATGCTTGCGTGCAAACGTTCGAGATGATCGATAAGTGTACGTCGCCGTTCGTCAAGATGGGAAGTTTCAAGTATGACGATTCTCAAGGAAAAAAAGACAAAGCGTCGAAGAAGAAGTACGGATCGAGTAGCAGGAGAAGGACGGAGCCGATTTTTCAGCGGTCCCAGTCGCCGACATCGATCACTCCGGATAGTTTAGAGAGTACGAAGGTACGAGTGGTTTGGTAGGCAGGCATACGCATGGAAGCAAACTGTAAAAATTCTGGACCAGATTTTAGAATTTTTCATTAAGCGAATTTTAATAAGGTACACATGTTTTGTCGAAACTGAATTTCGTGATGCTAATGCGACGACGAATTGTACCTTAAATGAAAAAAATAATAAAAACCTGGAAGTGACACCGGTCTCTCGAAAGCAGGTGCAGTCACCATGTGAGTTTCTAATTTGCTGAACCGAATTGTGTCTTAAAGTGTTAACAGTGTGTTAAATCGAAGTGTGGTACTCTCTGAGACCAAATCATTCGTAAGAGCAAAGTAACGATGTCGGTGGAGTAGGAAATCATAAAAGATGTTTTTGTTTTATATATATATATATAACTGGAATTAGAATTGAAAGACCCCAAGGTAACATAAAGATAAAATGAGATGAAGTATTTGACGTAGAAAAGTATTTTCCGAAAGTTTTTGAATCTTAACCAAACCATAAAGAGAAACACTTCATATGTATCTGAAAATTGGAACGTTATCAATTCAATTAAAGAAAAGAAATCCAATATTTATTGTTACGATGTCATGCATTCACATTTTTGAAATATCAAGTTTTTAAGCAACACGTGCGTAATCCTAGTGGGATATTGTGGTTTGGGTCGGTGCTGAGATTTTGAGGTAACGACTAAAAAATGTTCAAGTTTATTCCTAAATGGTACCTTGCAAAAAGCCCTGTAAGATGTTCTGGTGCTTTCATCAGCATCCACTATGTATTTTTATCAACTAACATGGAGACATGTCAATGTTTCCATATTTTTAACATAAAGTGGCTCTTTAAAATGCTCTTGGTAATATAATGTTAATGGCAGACGTCACACTATTGTTTTAATCAATTAATTTATCGCAGATTAACGTAGTTTCTTGTTGAAAGTAGGTATGAAGTTTTTTTTTCCGATCATGACCATTTCTGTTGTTGGTTGTAGTGTCAACAATTTGCGAATATTTCTTTTCGTACGTTAGTGAATTTTCATTTTGTAAAAACCTGGTGTTAATTCAGACTTTTTGCTTTCGCATGTTTAGATTTATACACTTTGCTTTCATATGACATCTTTTCAATATTACTTTAATCAAGGGGAATTATGCTTTTATTTGTATCTGACCGTACTATTTCCATAAATAGAAATTCTAAAACAAAGAGATGCATCGTGCCAAAATATTTCAAATTCATGTTTCGAAAATTTTCGGTACATAAGACAATCCTTAACCGAATATCAGAATCGAAATTTGTCATGGCATGATTATCATTTGTATGTATGTATTTATAAATATAATTTTCCAAATCTATACTTTATAAAAATATAAAGTTTGGCAACCAACATCCTGACCGTTGCGTTTTCATTGACACAATAATGCGTACAGAAAATTTTTAAACAGTCTTCCAGATTTTTTTTTTTTTTCTCTTTAATTTGCTGTGATGTAATATTTCATAATCTTATCAATGTCGAAGAGCGATAGCGAAATAATATCGATCTTTGTTAAATACAGGTCAAACTTATTAAGTATTTGTCACAAGTTGTAACATTGAAACTACGGCGCATTTCGAGATCTCAAGCTCGGATCATAATGCAACCAACCGTGAAAAATAGCAAGGAATGATGGTGTTTTGTATTCTCCTTGATTAAAAAGATGGAAAAAATCATGTAGACGATTACATATTTTAATATCTTTAGGGCCAGCGTCGATTATTACGTTCTCCTAAACATGGAAAAGCAACATCTTCCGACAACCCGACGAAAGAAAAAGGATCATCGTCGGAATCGAAACTGAGCGATGCATCGAAAAAACCCCGCACGGTACACATCGACGTTTACTGCACGGGTACCGAAATGGAGTCGGATGCCACTAATTCTTCCAGCGAATCAACAACGGAAAACGAAACTGCTTCCACGCCCCAAACCGTATTCGAATCGGAAAAAGTACGCATTACCCACAAACGTGCAGACGAAACCCAGCTTCCGTTCAGCGTTCGAAAATCGAGATCCAGCAGCAAAGAGAGGAAACCCGAACCGGAAAAGATGGAAGAGTCCGATCTTGACGATGGGACGACGACCGCCTATCCATCAAAGCTCAGTTCATACTCTACCATAAGGGATTTTTCTTCTAGTATTTCGAGTGTTCCTCAATCGTGGACGACGTATTCGATGTCTAGTTGTACTGTACCAGACGACTACGATTCCATTGCAAATACTTCGTGGAAAGATACTTTCTCCGATATCGATAGTTTGTTACATAGTCGTTCAAGTATTGCTCAGACGGAGAGTTTAGACTTTATTCCTCGCAAGTTGTTCGAAAAGAATGCAAGCATCGACGAAACTCCCGAGATAGAATCGTCGAAAGATGTTTTGGAGACTCCAAGTCAACTCAGTTTGCAGCCTAGCGACAGCTTCGAGTACGCCAACTCCGAAGACAGACTGAGAATCAAGAAGATGGAGGAGTTCTGGAAGAACAAGACTTGTGCTAAACAGTGGAAGTCGCCGCATACCGAGAGACGGCACTTGCTCCAACAGAAGAAAATTAAAGAATACCTGGAGAAACGACTGAGCGATAAGAATTTACCCAAGTGGGAATCGAAAGAGTCCGATTCGGAGGGTAGCGACGTCTCCGAGAAGGGATGGACATTCGTGAAAGCAAGCAAGAAGCAGGAAGAGGCGAAGACTGAAAGTGTGCCTTCTCAAGCGTCGAGTGCTCAAAAAACTAGTTCGTCCAGCAAATCTCCGAGTACAATCGTTATCCAGCAAAGGTTAAGTCTGGATCCAAGTTTGCGAGCCCCTTTCACCATAGTGCCTGGAATCTACACGAACCAGAGGGCTATTGCGAAGAAGTTCGGTTCGATAGTACCTGTAGTGAGAAAGCCGGGGCATCACGTTGGACCGGTCAAAAATCCGGATTGTCTGTGCGATCATTGTCAAAGACATTTTATGAACGTGGGGTACAGGGGCCGTGCGCGTTCCATGGGCGATCCACCCGCTTTCGACGTGCAAAACTGGAAAAACTTTGCCCGTTTTCCTCAAACCGAGTCCGCGTCTAACAAAAGTGTTCCGTCACAGTTATGTACCGATTTTTAACATGTGTTTGCTTAGTTGTTAGTAATTTTGAATGCATTTTTATAAGTCTTTTTTTATTTGTATAATTTTTGAAGACGGCGTCCAAGGTAATAAACGAAATGAGTTGTGCATTATTTTTTAGTTTATTATTTATTTATTTATTTGTTTATTGCGAGTCCGAAATTGCTGAGTATCAATTGGCATGTTTTTAGGCACAAGAAAGTTTAAGGGCTAGTAGCATGAAATTGGACTTGTTGAGGAAATCTTTAGAACTCCGAAAATCCGAACTGCCGTCTGATTCGCCGATAGCCCTTCAGCTCAAAGAGGAACTCGCCAATGCTCAGACCTTCAGCCCTTTGTCCGTTCATTACACCAGTCTGCAACCCTTCCGGGAACGTCCCAATGGCAATAAGATCATGACGTCGTCGTCGACGTTTAGTAGGTGCGCCGCAGTTACGGGGACATTAGAAGTCAGGCTGATGGGGTGCCAAGACCTTCTCGAAGACGTTCCCGGTAGACCTAGGAAAGATGGTGACGGTAGCTCGAGTCCCATGGATTTGAGATTCTTCAAGAAGGGAGTTACGGGTCGGAGCTCGTCGAAGAGTTACAGTATTAAAGATGAAGTTAGTGATGAGATAATGGCAGTGCTCAAACTTGATAATACGACAGTTGCTCAAACCAATTGGAAACTTTGCTCACAACAGGCCTGGGATCAACGGTAGGTGTTTTGTTTTTTTTTTTTTTTTTCCTTCGAGTTTCGCATTTAGAAAGTTTTCCTACCCTGCAGATTTTCAATCGAACTCGATAAATCTCGCGAACTGGAAATTGGTATTTATTGGAGGGATTGGAGATCGCTGTGTGCCGTAAAATTTTTGAAACTGGAAGAATTTATCGACGACGACAGACACGGAATGGCCTTGCATTTAGAACCCCAAGGTTTACTATTCGCAGAAGTAAAGATTCGATCTGTCGTTTCAAACTGTCCTTAATTTTGTCGTCTTTCAGATTAAATTTCTGAACCCGATGATTTCAAAGCAGCCCAAGTTACAAAGACAAAAGAGGATATTCAAACAGGTGATGCCTAGAGCCAAACAGATGAACATCAACATCGTGACGTGGGGAAGATGGATGAAACAGTCATCGCGCATACCCAACCGTACAAACACAACTCTGCAACCGTCTGAAATGCTGCCAGTAAATATTCACAAAACTTGGACGGGATTTAAAAAAAGTGACTTAACTTCGGTTGCAGGAAGAACCCGAAGACAAACCGGAAACGCCAGGAGAAACCCCGGATCCGCAGGCTTTCGGTCTGGGCGGACAACGTCCGCTAGGTTTGGGCGTAACAGTCTTGCCAGAAACTCCACCTCCAGTTCCTACGGTTCCGCCGCCGGTCGCCAAGAAGAGGATGTGCGTCACACCACCGCCTGTACCGCCGAGGCTCGATCCCGAGGTGAACCGTCTTTCTCGTTTATGCATTATTATATTTTGAACAGGTTAAGCGGTTGGGTTATTTAATACCGAGGCACACTTTACATTGCAGAGTGCCGCTGCACTGAAGGAGTTTGATTTCTTAGAGGAACAGGAGATGTCTCGTACGGGACCTCTTCTGATTCCTACTGCACCTTCTACACCTGTAGTGCTTCCTGAGCAATTGGTTCCTCCTAGTCCTCAGCCAGTAATTGAGTTTCCAGATGACGAGGTACTTTTGGTTCTTTGTTTGGACACACTGACACATTTACGGGTGCTAACAAATAACATCATCCGAGTTCTAGCGTTTCACTAGATCTTTCGCAGCATGGTTTTTATTTCAGCATCGAACAGTTTTCATTACAATTAGCTTCGGTGCATGGGGGCTGGTGGTTGGCAGTAGAGGAGTTTCATTGGTTAACATTAATTAACATGCATGTTTATTGGGTGGTGTGCGGTAAAAGTTTGTAAATTTTCTTTTTTATTTTATTTTATTTATTTATTTATTTTTTTTGTACCAAAGGGCTTATGTAATTATTACAAGTGAGACAACGACGTACGGCTGCATGACCTGAAAGTTTCCAACGAATTGTTTTTTTTTTTGGCGTTTTTTCCCCCACTAAAAAATAGCTCAGACTTTTACCGCACAATCTATATAACTAGTTCTAGTTTCAGCATGGTGCTTGCGCACATCGTAAAATCGGCAACTTAACAAGCCATTGTAAATTAGCATTATTCGCCGTAGAGATTTCGCTTTATTTTGCGCCATTCATCTCGCACGTTAATGCAAATACGCCAAAATGACGTTTGCTTATTTTCCAGCCTCCTCTCGAGGCCGTAAACGTGATGCGCCGCCCCGTGGCTCGCGAGCTCGGCTACAGAGACAGCGCTTACGAGTCCCGCCGCCACTCCCAGTACACGGGAATGAGCATCGATAATTTCCGACTGATCAGCGTCCTCGGAAGAGGCCATTTTGGCAAGGTCATCTTGTCCCAGTACCGAAACACCGGCGAGTACTTCGCCATAAAGGCCTTAAAGAAAGGCGACATCATCGCCAGAGACGAAGTGGAATCGCTCCTCTCCGAGAAACGCATCTTCGAAGTGGCCAACTCGATCCGCCATCCGTTCCTGGTCAACCTATTCGCGTGCTTCCAGACGGAGGCACACGTCTGTTTCGTGATGGAGTACGCCGCCGGAGGCGATCTGATGATGCACATTCATGCGGACGTCTTCAGCGAACCTCGGGCGGTGTTCTACGCAGCGTGTGTTGTGCTAGGGTTGCAGTATTTGCACGAGAATAAGATCATCTATCGGGATCTAAAACTGGATAATCTTCTGCTGGATACGGAAGGTTACGTGAAAATTGCCGATTTCGGTCTGTGCAAAGAGGGAATGGGATTCGGGGATAGGACGGGGACGTTTTGCGGGACGCCGGAGTTCTTAGCGCCCGAGGTGTTGACGGAAACTTCGTATACGAGGGCGGTGGATTGGTGGGGGTTGGGGGTTTTGATATTCGAGATGCTCGTCGGAGAGGTGAGTTGCGGAAAGCTGGAGAGGCTGTTTTTGACGGACGGAATGTCGTTTTTAGTCTCCTTTTCCCGGTGACGATGAAGAGGAAGTTTTCGACTCGATTGTAAACGATGAGGTGCGGTACCCACGGTTCCTAACGTTGGAGTCGATAGCGATCATGAGAAGGGTAATAAGACACTTCGTTTCCTCTGAAAGATCGACGATCAATAGTTCGTCTTTTTTCCGTAGTTGTTGCGTAAGAGCCCAGACCGACGATTAGGTTCCAGCGAGCGAGATGCCGAAGACGTGAAGAAACAAGCGTTCTTCAGGCATATCCAGTGGGACGAGTTGCTGCACAGAAGGATACCGCCTCCGTTTGTTCCCACTGTCGTGCGTATTCTGAGTTGGAAGTCTGGCGTAAATCTAACGTTCATTTTTCAGCATTCGATGGAAGACGTCAGCAATTTCGACGAAGAATTCACGTCAGAAAAGCCGCATTTAACACCCCCGAAGGAGCCACGGCCCCTTACCGAACAAGATCAATATCTCTTCAGAGAGTTCACGTACATAGCTGACTGGTGCTGACAATAGTCTCTAGATAATAATTTAATGAACAACATGCTGCTTTAATTTGAATGAATTACATGAACAAAATGTTGTAAATACGATCTCAGTATTGAAAAATCATTTGATGATATGGAGGTTTCATATGCAATTTGTGTAACATATCATTTATCACGCCGTTAACAATATGTTCATAAAGTTCGAAGTCGTCTGTCGTGTAACGAATTGTTTTGAAGATTTTTTTTTTTATCGTGTAGCATTTTGTAATTTAGTTTATTGGCAGTTATTTTTCTGGATTTTTTTTTCTGTAAATAGTGATTGCAGTACATACTCTAATGATAAATATTACTCAGTGTTGCATTTCTCCAAGTTAAAGTCATGTTATTGCTCTTCCAGTACGTATCGAAGACTGTTGAAATTTTAAGCAAAATTTTTGGGAAGTGCCTGTTTTAAAAGAATTGATCACGCTCATTGTAAATAGTTACTAATCCTAATGTAATGTATTATTTTTTGATGCTTTAACTATATATCTATATAAATTATGTAAGTTTTAATACCTACAACATGTGTATGAGCTGACTTCAGTAAATAATATTTTATTATTTATATTCTCTTACATCACTAAATATTTACAAAGTTATGAATAAAATCATGTTTATCTATGGCATTTATTGTGTTTGATTTGATGAATCGGTAGTAATTGTTACCGACGTTCCACACAGAGCAGCCTCGGACAACAAGTTTCGGTGTCTCTTAATTGCAGCATCCAACTTTTCTCGTTTATTTAATCTTGTATGCTTGGCATTGGCATTGCATGGTTTATGCAGTCCATTGGATATTTGATAATATACGCACGTCGAATCAGAACTAACGAGCACTAAAAATATGCTACACAAACCACGTCAGCAACTAAAATATCGTTAATTTAACTCACGTTTCGCAGCCCTCTTGTAGTTCAAAAAGCGCCTGCATTTGATTGAAACTTAATCCGTCGGTTGAACATCGAGGCACAAAGATGGAAGCATTTTCGGACTCGCGTTTCTTTGCCATAAAATATAGTATTTTCAACGTATCGTGGTACTTGTGGCTAACATCCCAATATTTTTTCTCTGCAAAATTCAACGAGTACATGCTTTATTTTCATATTTTCATTCTAACCTTCACACAGTTCCAAGTAAACCTGCAGCGCAGCATGTACGTCTTTGGTGTTCAAATTTCCGATTTTTAGAAACTCTGAAACCTACGATTCATCGTAACAGATTCTTTTCTACAAGCAGCGTTAAAATTACCAATTTTTCGTTTAGAGCCATAACCTTACTTTCGCTGCTCCGCTAACTTCTACAAGCGACCGAAAGATAGCGCTTCTGTGATTAGAGGCACCTCGATAAAACGATTTCTTCTTTGTCGACAATTCAAAAAAAATTTGCGAGACAAATTTTGCCCAACGTTATTCGACTTCGTCAATGATGGGTCCACCAGTTCCTCCCCCACGATCGTTAACCGACGGAAACTGCCTTCCATTTGTTCGCCCCGCCGAAGCATATAAGTTCGTAATAATAGATTTGAGTTTGTTCTCTGCTTCTTCTTTCTTGCGCACGTACTGTTCTTCTGTAGCTTTCGGATTCTGATTTAGCCACTCCGTACTTTCCTCATACGTGTTCCTGATGACAGCTGCATCCGAGGCGGACAATTCACGCATAATTATATTATCCTCCAACTATATTATGTAAAAGAAACAAAAATAATGGGCCAACTAGGATTATCATATAAATGTAGATGATTACCATATTCTTCATCTGGTATACGTAAGATTCCAAATCGTTCCTTGCCGCCATTGTTGCTTTAATTTCTTCGTCTTGTTCTTTGAACTTTGCGGCATCAGCCATCATTTCGTCGATTTGCTTTTTCGTCAATCTTCCTTTGTCATTCGTTATGGTTACGTGGTTCTTTTTGCCACTGGCGTGCTCAGATGCAGTTACGTTGAGAATACCATTAGCGTCGATATCAAAAGTTACATCGATCTAAATATGATATATGAATAACTTTAAATAACATGAGTTAGAATTATTGTTGAACGTTCTGCCTTACTTGTGGTACACCTCTCGGTGCCGGCGGAAAGCCTCTTAGCTCAAATCTTCCTAATAAGTTATTGTCGCGCGTCATCGATCTTTCACCTTCGTACACTTGAATTATAACGCCCGGTTGGTTATCAGCGAAAGTCGTAAACGTCTGCAAAGTTCTGTTATTATTAAGAGACCGCAAGATGTTTCTTTTTTGAGTGTCATGTTCAGGTACAGGTTCGTCCGAGTCAGTTTCGAATTCTCGAAGTTAAAAATGTTAGCTCTGGTGGTAAGTTAAACATTTTTAGCACGGAACAACAGAGTAAAACCGGGCGATAAATTTGTGAGGAAGCTAATCAACCGCAACTGTATTTAAACAAAAACTAAGGACAATCACAAAATTAACGTTAATTCTACTAACCTACAGTGGCTTATTATTACACTTTGGTATATCCAAACTGACTTTAAAATGGTTACTTTCAAAAATATGTAGTTATTGCTAATATCTTCTTAAACGTCGAAAATAAACAACAAATTTATACTTGACAAATGATTTCTGTAAGTTTGCACCAAGCCTTGTTCGTACTTCTATTAAAACTCGTTGTACGTTTGCACTGATACCGATGAGGCAACGAAAGCGGCTAAGTTTGAAGAAAAATAGTATAATTATCCAAGTCGGAGAAATAATAGTAACCTAATTCGCGGTCTTTTGATATGCACGTGTGCCATCTATTCAGGTTCAGTCTTTAAATTATTAATAACCAAGATATCGAAATTTGGTGGATGTGCTGCTCCATTATCCATTAGACAATTCATGATGAAATGTATCGTACCTGCGAGTGTTTGGTAGGTATTGTGGTGTTTCTCCGTATTATTACGGCCATGACACCTCCAGCAGTTTCGATTCCCAACGACAGCGGGGTCACGTCTATGAGGAGAACGTCGCGGACCGTTTCCGACTGGTCCCCGGCCAAGACGGCCGCCTGAACTGCGGCTCCATATGCCACAGCCTCGTCTGGATTGATCGATTTGTTTAGTTCTTTCCCTCTGAACATGTGCTGAAGCAGGGACTGGATTTTGGGAATTCGCGTCGAACCACCAACCAACACTACGTCCTTGATCTATAACAACACGGGACCTCTGTTTAAAAATCAAGTTGTCAAAACTACGCAGACCTCGTGTGTTTGCAAATTCGAATCCCTCAGAGCCTTTTCTACGGGTTCCAAAGTTCGTCTGAATATGTCGTTGTTTATTTCTTCAAATTTTGCTCTTGTCATGAAAGTATAGAAATCGATGCCGTTAGCTAAAGAATCGATTTCGATGCTCGCTTGTGCGGCCGAAGATAACACTCTTTTGGCTCTTTCGCATGCTGTCTGGAGCCGTCTTAAGGCTCTTTTGTTAGTCGCGATGTCGATTTTATTTTTCCTTTTGAATTCTTGGGATAGAGCTTGGACCATGCGATAGTCGATGTCTTCCCCACCGAGGTGGGTGTCACCGGCGGTCGATTTTACGTGGAAGACACCGTCCTCTAGGTTCAAGATGGATACGTCGAAGGTACCGCCGCCCATGTCGTAAATCAGTACGTTGTGGCTACCCTGGAATACCAAATGGCATAGTACTTATATTGTTTTCGATTGTTGAAACCGCGGATGGGGCGTCACAAATCCTTTAAACTTCTAACGTCAAAGTGCCAAGAAAGCAGAGACTACATCAAAATTTTAAAAATAACCGAAGAATGGCGTCTAAAAATCTCAAAAAACTCATCTTCTAATTTTAAAAATTGGTCGAAGGTTATTTCGATAGAACTTCCGTCGCCCCTGAAGTGCAGCCCAACGCCTCTTCCAAAACTCATTAAAATTGTTTGCGATTTTTGTTTTATTCTGATAACCTACATAAAGTAAAAACCGGTGGCGTAAATAACACTCCCGCAACTTTTTTGACTTGAGAAAAAGTGAAAGTGCAAAATATTGTTATATATATATTTTTTTTTTAACAATCTGGATGTCAACACGGATTCATACATCACAAGTGCAGGAGTATCTAATTTAAAAAAAAAATGAAAAAAAAAAATGTAAATTTTGGAGACGACGTCATCCCATTCGTAAGTAATTGTAAGTGTCGGATGTTCAAGTCTGTTTGGACTCGTACTTTCAAATCGATTTAAAAAACTTCAAGAAAAAAATTAAACAACTCTCCCATCATTGTGTACATTATAATTTCGGCGAACTTTCTCTTCTACGAGTAGCCGTTTCAAATAACTTCGAATTACGAGTACATCTCGTAACTGGCTGGGTTCTCTGCCTCTTCCTCACCTGCTTGTCCAGACCGTACGCCAGCGCCGCCGCCGTCGGCTCGTTGATGATCCTCAGCACGTCCAAGCCGGCGATCGTTCCCGCGTCTTTGGTCGCCTGCCTCTGCGAGTCGTTGAAGTACGCCGGCACCGTTATCACCGCCTGCGTGACGTGCGTCCCCAGGAAACTTTCGGCGGTCTCCTTCATCTTGCTCAGCACCATCGACGATATCTCCTCCGGAAAGAAGGTCTTCGTCTCGCCCTTGTAGGACACCTGTATCTTGGGCTTCCCGTTGTCGTTAATCACTTCGAAGGGCCACAGTTTCATGTCGTTCTGGACGGTCGGGTCGTGGAATTTTCGTCCTATTAATCTTTTCGCATCTGACACGCAAAATGCATTAATGTTTGAATACATTAATTATGAAAGTTTTGCGGGCAAAACGTCTCGATAGCGAATAATTTATTGTGCTTGTTGGTTTGGTTTACGGGGCTGCGTTGTGTTACGGGGATGTGGCGGTTGGTGATTCGGTGCATTATAAACCAGGCTTTATCTTAACGGGGAAGAAGGCGAGGATAATGTGGAGCTTTTTTCTGTTAGTAATATTGAGCATTTTTCGTTACTTCACGGTATCTTGATGGTGATCGGTGGCTGAAGAATTTTCGTGTAATAACAAAAATAGGTATATTGTTTCGATCATACTTTAAGACCAGATGACATGATACTAAACTAAAATTAATTATCGGAAACAAAAAAATCATGGAAAAATAAGGTTTCATGAACGATTTACCATGCTTTCGATAGCCTTAGTGAGATTTCGAACTATTCGGTTTTTCACTTCTAAAGTTTAAATTGTAAAAAGTTGTTACAGAATTTTGCAGGAGTATGTTATTTTATAAAATTTAAATAATATTTACTACTGTAAAATTTGGAGATGACGTCAGCCAATTGTCGGTGGGGATGATCTAACACATTCTGGTTAGCGTAACAATCGAACCAGTAGTTTCGGAAGTTAAGTGGATACACTCACGGTAGATGGCAGAGAGACAGACAGAAACAGGGACCTATTTTTTCGTACTCTAGGCATCACGAAAGATCGAGAAAACATCAAAGTAGCCAGTCGCCCGGTGGACCCTTTTACAATACTTCCTTAGCTTACGCTCGAGATGTAGAACATATTTCACTCGTACTTATTAATTAGGTGTTTTGTAAAAAATAAATGAGGCATAATTTGATTATCACGTTTTAATATCAACCCATCAACCTGCATCGCTAACAAAGTCGACCTTTTCTGTAAGCGAAACCCCCAATTTTGGCTTACTCTGGCGTGGTGCCGCGTTCTTCAATAAAACACTGAAAAAGAAACGGTTGCCTCTACCTTGTCATTACCTCTACAACCTACTATCATGCTGTGGTACCAGTAATGACAATCTTCCTCTTTATGTGCAATTAAAATTCCTGTTCGCCAGAGGGTTGGAACTTTTTGTGATTATGTCCCTAATGTAAAAATGTAATTTATAAGTCAACAAATCGTACTCACGCAACATGGGTCGCCACATCAACAAAGAGGTGCGCGACGTATTTAGGTAACAACAAAAAAGAAAATAAAAAATATCTGCCAAACAAACTTCTCTTCGAATTAATACTTAAAACAGCTCGTCGTTTAGCATCTTGGTATGTAAATTCCCGTGGTCTGACTCACTTAAAAGCAAATTATCTGTCGTTCGATACTTATTCCCGATTTCGAATATGCAACCTGGCTAGTCTAAACTTAAATTACTAACGCAGAGTTTAATTATAATATGAACCGCAGAGAAAATGCCCGTTTTGTGGAATTACTTTAGCATAAATCTGTTCGTCGGCCACTTAATTAACTTATTAAATTGTTCAAAACTAATCAGCGGCCATAATGTCTGTTAATAACCGCTTCATGAACAATGCAAGGTGGGTATTGCGAGCTCAAAATTATTTCAACGTTAGGTGTACATTTTTTCAAAAAATATTTTTAGTCGTGCCTTTGTCTTTCGTTAAACACAAGCAAATCTGCGTTATTTTTAGCAAAATTACGATTCGTTCATAAATCGCACGTGCGTCTGCAAGCTTTCTTGCAAATTCTTTGGCCTTTCCAGCAACGGTCTAGGTCAAAGTTTCCAGAACACATACCGTAAACAGTGTTTTCGGGGTTGATCCCCATCTGCCCCTTCGCAGGGTCGCCCACGAGCCTCTCGACCTCCGTGAACGCCACGACGCTCGGCGTCGTCCGATTCCCCTGGTCATTAGCGATGATATTAACACTTCCATTAGTGAAAACACCGACACACGAATATGTGGTGCCTAGATCTATGCCAATAGGTTGCGAAACCACGCTACTGGCCATTCTGGTGGAACTTAACAACTTAAAATGACATGAACACAGCAAATTTTGACTTGACGTGAAAGCTGTGACACATGACAAATGTGACAAAGCGAAAAGTTTCACTTCCAAGAGGGACAGACCCCTGCTTTTCTCAGTACTGCAGTGTAAAACGTAAATTTTGCTTCATTCAGAGCGAAGCTCTGCACCCCGAATAACATCAAAATAATGCCAGAATAAGTGGAGGAGTGGTGAAAGGTACAGGAACCGACTCCGTAGATGCGTGTGGACTCGATTTTTCGTCGTAAAAGTAAATATGATTGATTGCTTAACTATAAAACATTATCGTACGGTGTTTTCTAACAGTTTCTCGTTATGAAGTTTGTCTTTCATTTCTTTTTGATAAAATTTCTGTTAAAAGAAATATATACCTGTTGTTATTTTTTCTTATTTAGCCTACTTAGGACGTCCAGTAAGATATACTGGAAAACCTACATGTTCGTTTTCTGACGTAAGCTAAGAAGAGCTAAAAAATTGGTCAAAGGTTATTTCTAGAGAACTCCCCTCGCCCCTGAAGTGCAAACCAACAAATCCCGCTTCATTTAAAAATGATTAAAACCGTTTGCAATTTTTGTTTTATTCTGATAACCCGTACGAAATAAATACCAGTGACGTAAATAACACCCCCGCAGCTTTTTCGACTTGAATTTTTCAACTTTCCTTTTTTTTTGTTTCTTCGGTTTTTTGGAATTTTTCAATTCATTCCAATTTTTATAGCTTTAAGTTTTTTGATTTTTAGTTTTTCAGTGTTTCAATTGTTCGTTTCTTCAGTTCTTCGATTTTCCAATTTTTCGTTTTTTCAGAATATGAAAATTAAAAACATAAAAATCAAAAATTGAGAAAACGAAAAAAATTAAAAAATTAAAAATTGAGAAACTGGAAAATTGAAAAATGAAAAATTGTAATATAAAATTTTTCGGAAAATGGAATGAGTTGTTCTTGTTTTAATGAATAAAATAATTTGCCTCATTCATTAATCTTTTTGAGTTACACTATATAAATAATTCCAAAAACTATGAGTGCATTGATAAACCACAAGTATTGAGTCACAATATGTATTTTACATATTTCAGAGAGGATTTATTGGGCCAAATTTTGACATGACATCATCAATTTTTTAGAGGGGATAAACGAATAAATTTTGATTAACGATTTACCACGATTACGATAACTTTAAAACGTCTGCAAGCTTTCAGGGCGTTCGGTTTTGCAGTTTCAAAGTTAAATTACAAAATGTTGTTATACAATTTTTTCCAAAATCTGGATGTCCAGAGTGAAAACTCAACACATCACAAGTGGAGAAGTATCCTATTTTATAAAATTAAAAAATATATTCTTGTAAATTTTGGAGATGAATTTGAAAATATGCGCCAGAAATATGATAGTGAAGAGTTCAAATTTAATTTTGTTGTCGGTTATTGCAGACGAACTTTTTTAATTTTTACTATCGACTCACCTACATATTTTCGCTTGGACGCTTCGACATCACCGTCACTTATTAAGAAGGACATTGTGGAAATCGGCGCCTATGAATACTGGAACAAGTGGTGCAGAGCTGGAAATCGTAATTCTTTGGCGAAGGGAAAAGATGGAATAATCCACGACGTGCAATTAAACGCTGAAACCGTCATTACACCACCATTACGAATTAAAATGTGATACATCTGGGCAAAAATATGTTGAGAATTCCGTTAGTAATTTAATTGTGAATGGGCTGTGGCCGAAAATATATTTGGAAATTATACTTATAGCGGACGAAACGGGAGAAGTTTCCGTGCGAGTTTGTTAGTGAGAGGAAAAAAGTTGGTTCGCACATCCCACAGACGACAGGAGAATACAAAGTAAAAACAAAACATCCTCTGCATAAGTTGCGCGACATTGTATCCTCCTTATCTCGGCCGACTATAATCTCAAGTTCTGTGAATTTTAAAGTCATAAACATATTTTAATGCATATAAAACTCCGTGTTTCTGCATGACCGTGGTCGGTTACAACAATAAAATCGTAAATACGTGTGTGGCGAAAGATATCATCAACATTCTTGAGCTGCGGTGCATCCTCGATAACTTGGCGGATGATGAAATTTTGGGTTCTGAGTTGAACAATTAGTTTCAGTCAATGCGGAAGTTTAGGAGTCAGCAGTTTTTTGCAATAATATTAATAGTCTTTTGACGTCACGTAATCTGTTTTTTGGGATTGTTTTCACTAATTTTGACCAGTGTTACAAATCTAATGATAATCTTACGGCGCGCTTTAACAGTATCTTTTCTAACAATAAACTCACCAGAAATACCGATGGAACTGGAAATACTGAAGGAACTTAAAAATAAATACTTACTTCTAAGGAATGTGGAAACTACGTTTTTGGCAACAAAATTTGTCAACTCCATTAAAAAAATCTTCGCAACTTTGTGGCAAGAAACGGAAAAGTGTTCCGCGTCCAATATGTTTAAACACATTATTTTTATCTAAGCAGAACGTTATCTCATTTGAGCCGGTTAAATAACTGAAACTCTATTACAGAGTCGTATCACTTTGCATACATTTGTAATACCGTCGTTCATAATGGCTCGTGTGCGTGTTGCGTTGTCCTCTTTAGGCGAATAGTGATGAAAATTGAACACAAGAGTCTACAAGCGGATAAGATAAAAACTAGCAAAAAGATTCAGCGGCATAGGACTCTTCAGTTTATTAAACTATAAACAGACGATACCTAATATTTAGTTTCGGTGTGGTTTTCTTTCTTTTTACTTCCCGAGCGTAAGCGAAGGAAGTATTGTAATCGAGTCCATAGGACGAATGGCCACTTTTATGTTTTCTCGACGTTTAATGATCCCTATAGTACAAAAAAAAGTAGTCTCCCGTTTCCATCCGTCTGTCTGCCGTCTGTCTGGATTTTTATTAGACAGCTAATTTCCGAAACCGCTGGATCGATGGTTGTCAAATTTCGTACGTGTATTAGGAGTATCATCTAGATGGTAAAACGCTAACCAAAATTTTGATAATCACCTTTTTTTTTTAAAGAATTCTAAACTGTGCAACAAAACTTTTCACGGATTTTTTTAGCAACTACTAAGACAATCGCCTTGAAATTTAGCACGTGTTTTGAGGTATAATAAAAATATGCTGAGTGAATCCTATTTAAAATATTAACTTCACCTGCGAGGGAAGTTCTGTGCGAATAACTTCAGACAAATTTTTTTATATTTTGATCAAGCGAATTCTAGTTCTACATTAATGAATTTGAACTAACTTTTGAATGAAGTCTGTCGGTGGTAATAAAATCAACAAGGTTTTATGGGCTGCCATTGAGCACTAAAATGTAATTATTTATCATGTTGTAGTCTTCGTCGTACTGTTTATTGACTTTTGCCAACCATAATACCAATTCCGCTCACGAAACTTTGATCTTTGCTCTTCTACGAACTGTAAATTTCGACTTGAACTTGCGAGTAACTTATGTTTGCGAGTCGCAAATATTGAATTTAAAATTAATAAATAAGTGAACTAACAATTTGTACTGTTATAAAACTCCGTAACTGTTCAAACTTATGCAACCAACAATACCTTGCATTGATATATTTTACAGCCAAGCTTCTGTTTTCTGTTGTTGCTGTCGTCTAAAAAGCTACACGCTGACTAAGCCTAGCACTTTTCGGAACAATAAAAAACATAATAACGTTTAGGAGTGATTTTCGTCTATCAAAAGGCTGGCGCATCGTTCAGCAGAGCGCCCGTAGAAAATTTAAATATTTTAAATAAATACTCCGTGTCTAAATTAGACGCCCCAGAAGCGAAAATAAAAACGTTCGACTTTTGCATGATTTATTCATAAAATAAATAAGAAATTCTTTTTAGCGCTTTACAATCCGGTGAATAAACAAGCATGTGAAGCGTGTCTTATACAAACAAAATCAGCATCGGCAAAGAGTATTTCGGAAAACCAGTTTCGTGATTCGAACGAGAGAAATCGCTTTCTGAAAAATTCATTCCGCTCGAGCCCAGCCCTCCTCCTAATTGCTTGCCGGTATTGAATTTTATAAATGGCTACTACGAAGAAAAATTATAAAAACCATCGTGTTGAGACGCTATTAAGGAAACATCAGTCGGCAGAGACGTCTTTGTCGGGAAAAATCGTCTTATTTTTGGAGCGGGTTCCAATTGCGACGAAAACAATGGTATAATTAAGGGGTTGAATTTAAATTTTAATTTCATCAAACGCGTTTATAAATCATAAAAGCCGAACTTAAACTTTTAAATTGAAGGGGAGACTTTAAAACCGCGGTAATCAGCAGAGGCACAACTGAGTTCGCATAGTCGACTGAATCCAAGTTCTTTTTGAATCGGTGATTGCAGATTGACTTTCGCGATGTTTACTGCATCCAGGCGATAATGCTTTATTACTGTGCCAGTTTTTACGGCTATCTGCAAGTCTATCGACGATGTGGTACATCGTGAATATTTTGTTAACGTACTCGTGGAGCCGTTCATGTGTGGTCTCCGATAAATTCGTACACTACACCATACAACAGATACCTAATTAAACTAAAACGCGAAAACAGTTGTAAGTACAATATAAAAATATCCACTCCATACAGTAGGTACGTGATTCGTAAATTATTATCCACAGTTTGAAGAACCGAAACTGCTTGCAGAGAAAGTGCTGCACGACGCTCAAATAATTTACAATCCGTAGTCTCAATAAAGTGCTCTTAACAGACGCAGAACCTTAAAAATATAAAATTACATCGAATACTATTACCGAAGATGACTTTCCCAATAAAAAGTAACAACTTTCAACATTGGACGGACGAATTTGGACTTTTCCTCTGCGGCAATATTAAAAAAGTATCTGGTTTCTCGTTTTACGTTACCTAAATGGTATCCGTTATTTGTATTTTTTATTGTATGTACATAAATTTTAAAATGACGTCGGGTGGCTCAGAAGCCCTAAACCTTCTCCAGTTACGTGGAATGAGCTTGTTTCCGCTGTAATCGTCGTAATGGTGAAACGCAGGGCTGCTTGTGTTATTAAGTAATTTACCCTCCGCTTTTGGATCACCATTAAATTAATAAATAAAACAAAGTAATAAATTGGTACGGTTTCGGGTTGCTTTTGAGTCACTTTGCTTTAACCGCTCGTGCAAAGGTTCTTCAGGTCGGAGGGTGATCCCGCACCAGACGTTTAAAACTCCGCGACTAATTTTCTAACTCAAGTGGAACTTGCTACAGCTGCATTAAAATAACAGATAATGTTTAACAATACCGTAGAACTGGATTTCTGTCTTACCAATTAGTCAGTGGAAAAGCCCCGTGAGTGTACCCTCAAAAACGAAGGGGCTATAATTACCTTATTGATTTATTTCTGCCTAAATATTCCATAAAAAATTCAGGAATGCACTTTCACAAAAACGCTGCAATGGTCAAATTATTGTTCAAAAACAACCGTGATGATTTTCAGGCGATCCAATCTTTGATTATTTGCTTAATAAATGTAAGAACATTTCATTTTCGACGAGAATTAGCGTCGTCCGCTATCAAAACAATCGATTTCTGAAGAAGCCCATGTATGAATCTTATACAAATTAACACAAAGCTTATGTCATTCAGTGTCTATTCGTGTTAACATTCGATTTTTATTTATTAAAACTTCATATTTTTTAGAGCTGCAATTCTCTGTTCTTCTGTTCTTTGTCACGTAATATTTTAAAAACTGTTAACTTAACAATCTAACCTTTGTTGTACTAGTGTCTTTAAATTTCTTAAAAAAAAATAATGTAGCAGGTCTATTTCGTGTGAATCTATAAAAATCGATATTTCTTGGAAAAAACTGCTTGCCCAGTTTCTTGGAAATAGGATGGGACGAATGAGCGAATCGGGAGGGGGTGTAACACATCGAAATTAGTAGATATTTACGAGTTCGCGAAACCGGGGTATGTCTTCGATTGTTAATTTGTGAACATTGAGTGATTACTGAGAAAAACTATTTTGGTTTTTGGTGGATAAAGTGGAGGTGATGTTAGACTGCCTGTATTTGTTTTATTAGGTACGATTTCTCTAACATTACTTACATCGAATATAGGCATTTAAAAAGGGAAAATTCAGTTGATTTCACTATGTTCGGAATGGGACAAAATGATTAATTTTCTTTGTTTTTAGGTTGCTTTTGTAGTCCCTATTATGGAATTTCAGTGTATAAAATATACTTAATCGCACAAGTAATGACAAAAGGTAATCATGGGGGAGATTACTACATGGATGCTTGTATGTTATTAAGGTCAGCTGATTTGTAAGTTGTCTACCAACTTGAAGCAAAAATACATTATGTTCAAATGAACTAATGAAAGCATTTTATTTTTTAAGAGAAAATTAATGACCCCGTATACGTGTTTAATTTATATAAATTGACACCGCAGAGTTAAAACGCCATCCGTGCGTCCCTGGGTCGACGCACTCCTTTTTGGTAGACGGGACGTCGAGAGAAAGTGATGGTCACGAAATTCGTAGATTCTAAAGCATTGTAATTTGATCTCAATTTGAAAGACATTTTGTGTTAAAAATTTAAAGTCAAAAACTGAATTTTGTATTGGTTTTCTCGTCGCAGTCCCGATTCAAGCGAGAAACTTGTGTTTTCGCATCCTCCGACCTTTGGAACCGCGGACGTTTCGTCAGAATGCCGCTGTCGCAGTCGCGGCCCTCCGTTGTCGCTCCCTGGGTCCGGCTGGTCTCAAACGCCAAAAGAAATCGTCAAAACATTCGTATTTTTTCGACGAGCGTTCCGTCCCAGCCGTCCGTCCGTCCGACTTGTCCCTCTCGCCTCCTCCGCCGCCGCCAGCGCTCCCCAGCCGTGCCGCTGTTCCGCTGTCCGACGCACCGCCGCCGCGCACGCGATCGAAGTCGGCATCGTGTCGGTGGCGCCTCCACGGTGGCTTCCCGAAGCGCTTCGTGCACAACGCGAGTCGTGTCGGCGACGCAGCACTCAGTCGTGCCGCGAGCACTTGCGAGAGTTCTTCTCTGCTGCTCCGCCGTTCCATCGTCGGACATCATCACCAGCAAACAGCAGGCAAAAGGTCGCGTTCGCAGCCGCCACCAGCGGACGATCCCCTGCCGTCGGCCTGCACTCGACGGCGCGGATCTAGAACGCAGATCCAGTGAGCTGTGAGCGAATCTGAGGTTAGGATGGTTTGCCGGCTGAACCAGTAGTGTAGATGCAAAGCCGTCTCTGACTTGGATGTGTTTGTGTGTTTCTGTGTAACTGTGACCATGGATATACTACCGAGCGTCGGCATCTTCAGGGAGCTGCAGGACATCCACGACACCGGCTACTTCTCGGCGCAGCCGTCGCTGGACGACCACTGGCAACAGGTAATTCGAACACCCTGTATCTGCATGGGAGCACGTGTGAACGACGCTTTAACGCGAACTGTCACTGCCGATGCACGGCCTACTTGTTTATCCCGCCACACAAAGATGACACGGTACAGGTGTTACTATACGCAAAAAACATAAGGGGTAGCGGCGAGCGAGATGCGCGTAGCGGCGCCAGCGATAGAACGACAGAGACAGTAAACCGGAGAGAATAAAACAGGTGAATCGTGTAATACAAGGTCACAGGACGGGTATGCGTGTATGTGTGTGTTTGTGTGAATCAGGCCCAGCGGACCAGTTGTTCCGTGGTCGGGAATGCCGCGACTTGCAAACTGTAACAATGACCACTGCCAATAAAAGTTTATCTTATCAGATGCATATTTATTGTGTTTGTGGCGTGGAGTAGTAAAGAGTGAATTGCGTAGCGGCGAAAAGTTCACAGTTAGATCGGGTTACATAACGATTAAAAATAAACGAGAATGTTATGGTTTTTTTTTTGTCGGTTTGCTAATAATGAGTAAGGCACGTTTCTACGATATGCGAGCGGATTCGGTGCATTTCAAGTCGGCAGCCGGTATGTTTGTTTTCGGTGTTAAAATTCGGCCATTATTTAATTCGTAAAGCTTGTATTTTAAAATTATTGTATGAAGCCGACAAGCGACTATTGTCAAAAAGGCGCTCGTTTGTGTCTACGATAAAATTTCGACATTTGTTTGTAAACACGGCTAATTAAATACAGTCGGTGTTTGTTTTTTGTGTTTATTAAGAACATAAAATACTTCAACATCAGCTTTACCATGTTTTTGAAATTGTTATTCAGCAGAGACATGATTTTAGTCACCGGAATAGCGGCCACAATTTATAAACTTCCATTATTCCAGTGTTCAAACTTCCTGTCAAATGTGAGTCTTGAAAATATTGCTAGCTGCTCCATATAACATAACAGAACGGGCGTTCGTTCAATTGAAAAAGTCATCAAGTTGGCATTGTTTTCCGCGTTGTCATATGCCATCCATTACATTTTAGGTTTAAAGGTAGACATACTTCACTATGTTTATTAAAAATCAAGGCCAATTTGATGACTTTTTCAATTGAACGAATAAAATAAAATAAAATAAATAAATAAATAGAAACATATACATTACCTAATAATTTTTTTAATTACTGCTCACCTGGAGCTTTCTTTTTCAAGACTTCATCTGCGGCAAGTTTTATAGTTTGTACAATATTTAATAATTTATAAAATAATTAAAAAAAAAACGACATTTCGGGAAAACCAACTCTTTGTACAATTGGGACAGATCATAAAGGTTCAGTGAATTAAAAATGAAATTTTGGACATTCTTAACAAGTGTAATTAACTTTATCTACATATGTACATACATAGGTATATATATTTGTTCTTGAATTGTTTCTTCTATAACGGTAAAACCATCATTTCCCATTGCCACGATGTTGAAGTGTTATAATGTTGTGGTGTTAATTTTCAAAAAGTGTTTGATTTTCTATTTTGTAAAAGGCATTCTTGTCTATTCTGTTTCATTTCTGGAAATTATACTTTTAAAATGAAACATAAATAAAGAAAAACTACTCAAACTCCTCTTTTCTCTCTATGTGTTTTTGTCAAAAAAGCTGCCGTCATTTGGCAACTAACGTCCTTTGCCACCCAAGATATGCTGAATTTAAGGATGTGTTAGTAACATATGGATTATGTATTGGCTAGGGTTCTCGCCAGATAAGTTTGGAACGAAAATTTCCCAAAAACGAAAAAAGAAAATCGTGCCACCGGATTTATAAAAAAAAGACTGCATTAATTTACACTACGCAACAGAGGTGACTAAAGCTTGCATTAAAATTAATATTGAGGTTGTTACGACATTTTGAAGGTGATTCAGCTTTGCTGATTCACGGCGGCGTACAAGAAACTTTTCTCAGAAAGTTCGTAATGGACAGAACTGGGCTTGAATAAATGAAGTGAAAATAGACGAACAAAAGAAAGTTGAATCATTTGTACAGTGCTATTTATATGAACAGAAAATGTAACTCAAAACTTACACAGAACTTGGTTTAGTTTTACATTACGACAAAAAACATTTCTTTCGTTGTTATAGTTTCCAGGGTTTGCGGTTTTGCTACTTTTTGAGGATATGCATGTATAGTTGAACTTTAAAAAAGGTAGTTAAAATTTTCCGAATCATTAAGCCGTCAGATTAAAGACAGAAGGCAGTATTTATATCAGATTCCTGTGGAGCCGGTTTACGATTTTTAACTGGGTTTCGGAGTAAGCAGGCAGAACGAAAACGTTAGAAAATCGTTAAATACCCATTATAAGCAACTTACTGTCAGCAGTGAAGCATTGCACGTAGACGGTAAAAATTTTTTGTCCGTAAGTACATTGTCGTAGGTTTTTCATCGGCGCTAACATTATCTTATCATCAAAATTATTACTGCAGTCACTGATAATCAACATATTTATTTAACTGTTGCGTAATTCATTTATTGTTAATTAACTGCAATTAAAAGTTGCTTCAGCAAAATGAAAATTTCACGAATTTCGAGAAAACTCTTGAATCAATATACAATTCCATTCATGTGTTCACTATACTTACTTTATTAAGTATTGACGCATGAAGTAAGAATGTGACCAACTTCGTAAGACTGCCAAGGTTGCAAATTTAATTGGTGACACTCTGCTTACATAGTTATTTCTCTCTGTTACCAGAAGAGAATCGGTCAAATTGAGACAGCGCTATTGCGTGTGCTGCGAATTTCTAGTCAGAGCTGAGATCACTACCTCAAAACGGTGCTTTATGCTGCAATGATTACCACTTTTTCTTAATTTACAACATTCCGCTATATCCAATCGCGAAAACACTGACAATACCCAGAATCTTGTTCTTTTTCTTTATCAAGTTTAATCGGTACGAAAACATTAAACACCCGACTCGTATTTCAAAGCCGTTTGTTTATCGCAATTCAGTACGACCGTGTGGAGGTGGTGTTGGGAAATACGACACGATCCCAGTTCTTCATCAAATTTAACGTTTGCTCGCTTGTGTTTTCTTTTGTGTTCGTTTTACAAGCCGCGGAACGCACTACCTCTGCTTGCGTTTTCGGTGGCTTTAATCGATTTCTTAGTTTATTTAAAAGGTCAAAGTCCGAAAAAATGCGTCTAGACTCGCTGTAATTATTGTTTGTTATTCCGCTTTTTTCATCTGCTTAGTCATCAGATTTTGTGATGCGGGTGTGCAGAACACATCGCGGAATCAATCGTCTCGATTTCGATGCAACCTACTGCACACATTTTTAAATCGTTCGTTCTTTTTATCAAGTTCTGTGAACCGTGAAAGTTGGGTTTTATGCATTACCGATAACATTCATTTGACAAATTAATCATTACTCGTGTTTTTCCTGGTATCCTTATCAGTCGATTTTTTAAATTCGTTATCGACGAAATAAATTTATTGTTGTCGCATAATTGATATCAGAGTGCGACACGTTGAGGATTTTTGGCTTCCGAAACATCGATCGTGGCCCAGCTTGGCTCTGGGAAGGAATAAATACGTAATGATGGACGGAATTTTTTATAGGAATGCATAGTTAAAAATCGTTAACGTTGTCTATATTTAGTGCAAAGGCGAGTTAGCGCGACGAAAATAACAGCAATGTCAATCCTCAACGCGTTTTCTAGTAAGACAGTTTAGAGGGAGAAATCGAAGACGCTTTTGTGATAAGACTTGTCGCTCAGTTAATTACGGAATGGAAGGGTGTCGAAATTGGAACATTGAGTCTAAAATATTGTGTGCAAAAAAATCATATTTTTGATATGTGTTTGAGGTTCAGTCGTTAATTCTACAACTGCCACGACTGGTCTTTTTGCAAAAATTTGCATTCCATAATTAATTTTGAGCGGATAAATGAGTGATGACCGATTTGTTTAAAAGTCTACCACACCAAACAGGAATGGTGAGGCTCCAAGAAGGTGTGATAAATTATGTTGCATCGAGGGTCACACAAATTAAATCCATAAATAATAGAAGGTGTACTTTGACTTTTCGTTCAGCGAGGTTACGTAAGTTTTTCTATCGTGCAACTCCCACAAAAATTTGTACTTCCTTTTCGATAGAAATACGCGTAGTAACTGTGCTCACTTGTACGTATGTAGGTACGAAACTGTTTGTTTTAGAATACAGTGTTTGCTTGTACTGTTTGCGTTCTGAATTTTACGTTTTGTCACGTATTATGTTACATTGTTTAAAACCTATTCAGTAATTTTTCTGTGAGTGAGTAGGTAGTGTAGGCAAATTCAATCACGTTAACAACGCACATTTAAAATATATTATTTTTTTCTGTTCGAAATGCACGTATTTCCTGTTACTCATCTTGTGTGAGTGAGTCATTTGCAATGCAGATGTGGTTGCATTTAATGTCGTGTGTCTGTCTAATTATGTTTTTTTTTTTTGTTTATATCGTTCTCGACTCGAAGGCAGTTTCAATCCATCACCGTTTTTACTCAATTTTCAGTCATTATAAAGTCATGGTTCTGCATTGCGTCCTATTCTTTTTCTATTCCCACCAATTTTCTTATCCGTTTCGAGACATAAGAATCCGTAATTATGACGCGTTGTTTGTTTATGTTGACCTCCGAGATACGTTGTCGCGTAATACGACCCTTAACATACTTAGAGAAACTGATACCGAGATTACTGTAGGTAGGTAGATAACACATTTTTACCGAATGACGCGAACGCTAAATACAACCGAACAAATATTGACGTATCAGTCAATAGTGAGCTTTCTAAAAAAAATGTGCTTTTTTACACTGTGTACATTTTGATAACGCGACGATGTAAAAATAGTTGTCAGCGACCCGTAAAAGCTTTGTAAATTCCACTTGGGTTCACCGAAATATTTTTATTTTCAGATTTTTTCCTGCGACTTCGGGTTAGTGTTTTCAGTGAAAACATAGTCGTACCCCGGGCGCGTGTTTCCAGAAA